GGTGGAACTACTGCAGAAAATGGTGTTCACCAGTTATTTAGGTCACTCTAATTGTGAGTCTGTGGAGAGACGAGGCTAGCCAGCAGTGTTAGTTTTCACACCTACTTGCTTAAAAATCACTTTGGTTATGTCAGCACGAGGCCAAGCTATCCTCATGCAGCTATAACAACCTGCGCAATAAGTGCACACTCATGTGACAAGGGATACCTCCACTGAAGTATGCAGTCCCCAAGATGACTTATGTCTTGTTGTAATTTCTTATAAGGAAGTAGAATATTTCTATGCTGTCATATCCAAAAATGCACTTTAACTTGAAACAAACATGGCACTGATAGTGGTGAGTAAGTGAGTAAGCTTTACTTAATGCCGCATCAGTAATTTTGCAGCTATTCTCGGGGAATCCACATTTTCTAAAACAATATGAGGAATGTCAAGTGGTTTTTGATTACTACTAAAACCCTTGTGACATTCTAGGAAATTCATTTTCTTGTCTCACAGTCTCTACATGGCTGCAATGTTGTTGACGTGGCAGTAAAATTGAAGCTAAATCTTAACCCACTCATTCTCATCATGTTCATATTACAAATAAGCCTTGAAGGCAACAGTTACCTTCAGATATAAAATATATTGATTAATGCTATTACCAGATCACACTGATTCCACACAAACATGGCACACATGTTGGATGCATAGTTTGACCACAATGATTCTACACGAACATGGCACACATGTTGGATGCATAGTTTGACCACAATGATTCTACACGAACATGGAACACATGTTGGATGCATAGTTTGACCACAGTGATTCTACACGAACATGGCACACATGTTGGATGCATAGTTTGACCACAATGATTCTACACGAACATGGCACACATGTTGGATGCATAGTTTGACCACAATGATTCTACACGAACATGACACACATGTTGGATGCATTGTTTGACCACAATGATTCTACACGAACATGGCATCCATGTTGGATGCATAGTTTGACCACAATGATTCTACACGAACATGGCATCCATGTTGGATGCATAGTTTGACCACAGTGATTCTACACGAACATGGCATCCATGTTGGATGCATAGTTTGACCACAATGATTCTACACGAACATGGAACACATGTTGGATGCATAGTTTGACCACAATGATTCTACACGAACATGACACACATGTTGGATGCATAGTTTGACCACAATGATTCTACACGAACATGGCACACATGTTGGATGCATAGTTTGACCACAATGATTCTACACGAACATGACACACATGTTGGATGCATAGTTTGACCACAATGATTCTACACGAACATGGCATCCATGTTGGATGCATAGTTTGACCACAGTGATTCTACACGAACATGGCACACATGTTGGATGCATAGTTTGACCACAATGATTCTACACGAACATGGAACACATGTTGGATGCATAGTTTGACCACAATGATTCTACACGAACATGACACACATGTTGGATGCATAGTTTGACCACAGTGATTCTACACGAACATGGCATCCATGTTGGATGCATAGTTTGACCACAGTGATTCTACACGAACATGGCACACATGTTGGATGCATAGTTTGACCACAATGATTCTACACGAACATGGCACACATGTTGGATGCATAGTTTGACCACAATGATTCTACACGAACATGGAACACATGTTGGATGCATAGTTTGACCACAATGATTCTACACGAACATGGCATCCATGTTGGATGCATAGTTTGACCACAATGATTCTACACGAACATGACACACATGTTGAATGCATAGTTTGACCACAATGATTCTACACGAACATGGAACACATGTTGGATGCATAGTTTAACCACAATGATTCTACACGAACATGACACACATGTTGGATGCATTGTTTGACCACAATGATTCTACACGAACATGACACACATGTTGGATGCATAGTTTGACCACAATGATTCTACACGAACATGGCACACATGTTGGATGCATAGTTTGACCACAGTGATTCTACACGAACATGGCACACATGTTGGATGCATAGTTTGACCACAGTGATTCTACACGAACATGGCACACATGTTGGATGCATAGTTTAACCACAATGATTCTACACGAACATGGAACACATGTTGGATGCATAGTTTAACCACAATGATTCTACACGAACATGACACACATGTTGGATGCATTGTTTGACCACAATGATTCTACACGAACATGACACACATGTTGGATGCATAGTTTGACCACAATGATTCTACACGAACATGGCACACATGTTGGATGCATAGTTTGACCACAATGATTCTACACGAACATGGCACACATGTTGGATGCATAGTTTGACCACAATGATTCTACACGAACATGGCACACATGTTGGATGCATAGTTTGACCACAGTGATTCTACACGAACATGGCACACATGTTGGATGCATAGTTTGACCACAATGATTCTACACGAACATGGAACACATGTTGGATGCATAGTTTGACCACAATGATTCTACACGAACATGGAACACATGTTGGATGCATAGTTTGACCACAATGATTCTACACGAACATGGAACACATGTTGGATGCATAGTTTGACCACAATGATTCTACACGAACATGGCACACATGTTGGATGCATTGTTTGACCACAATGATTCTACACGAACATGGAACACATGTTGGATGCATAGTTTGACCACAATGATTCTACACGAACATGGCACACATGTTGGATGCATAGTTTGACCACAATGATTCTACACGAACATGGCACACATGTTGGATGCATAGTTTGACCACAATGATTCTACACGAACATGACACACATGTTGGATGCATAGTTTGACCACAATGATTCTACACGAACATGGCACACATGTTGGATGCATAGTTTGACCACAATGATTCTACACGAACATGGAACACATGTTGGATGCATAGTTTGACCACAATGATTCTACACGAACATGGCACACATGTTGGATGCATTGTTTGACCACAATGATTCTACACGAACATGGAACACATGTTGGATGCATAGTTTGACCACAATGATTCTACACGAACATGGCACACATGTTGGATGCATAGTTTGACCACAGTGCAGTACAACATGCATCAATACATCTCCCAGACCCAGAAGACATACAAACAAGGTTCCAGTGAGGAATAAAAAATAAACTTCACATGTATCTATTTATATCAATCATGTCTGACATTATGCTGAAATGTCCTATGAATCCTAAAGACAATATTTGTGTAGAACCTACAACACATAACTGAGGTTTCCCATTCCTTTTTCCTTCTCTAAAGCTTGTAAACTGACACTTATTATCATTATTATCTTCAGTTTGGAATAAGAAAGGAACGAGGGTACCATCTTGCTGTGTGCAAGGTCTAGAGCGATGGTTCCATGTTGTTCATCTACATTCGGGATGAGCTCATTCAGGGACCTAGGACCCACAACACTGGAGCAGCTAGCTGCAGTACACAAAGACCTGGATGAATGCCTTCATCAATAAGTCTCAGAAGTAGACCAGCCACACTGGGCTGCAGAGTCAGATAGTCAGCAGGACATATTCCCATTCATAGTGCCAGAACGATTGAAAGAGATCCGTGACAGCCAGGATACAAACTGTTTCCATGGAAATGACATATGTAAAAATAATACTTAATCAGCAGCACATCATTGTGTGCAAACATTTCTGAAGAAACAGTCTTGTTAGTAGATGAACTATCCAAAGTGAACTAACAGCTCTGTCACTGGCATCTCAGAATGAACTGTTGGAGCTAATGGATGCCACGTTATGGATGAACATGACACACACTCAAAAACCAAACAACAGCCAGGGTAGACACCACTGGTCAAATACAACTGGGCCATAACATAATAAGAGGCTTATTTAGAGCAACCAGATTACAGGAGACAACAACTAGTCCAAATAGATTTTCACTAGTTTGGACTAGCAGACAAAGGCGGTGTCTATCCCTTAATGTGCTGTCTGTTACATATTCTGTCATGTTCATCGTTGTCATGCCCACCTCTTGACCCCTACTGATGATGGTAATCCAGAACACAGCACCTGATTTACGTCCATCAAATGTCACTGGAACAGTGGAGGTCAGTCAGGGACATGTTTTGTCCGCATATCACGTCACACCATGGATAAGTAACTGGATGTTGGGGACTGTTTAATAACACAGTAACTTCACAATTACGACCACTTGAAACTCCAAGTGTCAACTTAGTATCACTGGTCTGGTGCTCACTGATGAACGCCAACATATCTGTCTGTCGCTGTGACCATACTGATAACACTAAGGCCTATCACACCTTCAAACAAAGTAACTCTACTTTCTTGGACAATTTTCAAAATGAAGCATGCATGCATCAGTGTTTTAACTTTGATAAATTTAGGGTGCAACTTGGTTTAGTCTGGTGCAACTAGCTTTTCACGTTAACATGTACCTGGTTCAGGTTTTACATTCAAGTTCGTTAAACCGTCCCTTGCATCAGACATTGGTACGAATCGTACAATGTGGTCCATCATATAAGTATAATTATTTCCTATATTTCAGTCACCATCAACCAGTCACAAGAATAGAAACATTGTGTACACAGTAATGCAGCTAGGATCGATCTAGACATTCTCATGGGCTGAAATTCGGCCCCTATGTCTTCAAAATTGGAATATCCCATTTCAGTTTATCATACATTTTGACTGAATATGTTACATCTTTGTATATGTGTCCTAGTTTGACATCACTGCATTGACTGCTTCAGGACCTCTGAATGTAAGAACATAAGAATACAGAAATACTCTATAATTTGGTACAAAAAGATGAGTCGTTTTCTCCAATTTCCCCTCTACATGTATTTAGTTGAAATTCCCAGATACATCTCTATGTAGGGAGACTCGTTTGGTCTGGGAACACTGCAAATGGAAGAGTTCTTTCTACAATGTTGAGTGAAGCTATGAAATATTGTCAACACTTACGTTCTGAATGGTCTTCCCTCATGTGATTGGTTCTCTCTGCTGGGGCGGCTTCCCTCGGGTGGTCATTCACTGGTAACACTGGCAACAGCGTGGATGCTGTTGGGTGCACGGCTCCAGCGGGGTAACTTGACCCCTGCTGTTGACCAGCATTTGGTGTAGCTTGGTGTAGCTGTTGTTGCAAGGTGGTATGTGCTTGGCTGACAACTGTATTCTGGGAAAGAGTGTTATGGGATACACTTACACTCGCCCGACTGGTCAGCTCCATCGGAACGTTAGAATGTGCATCGTGGGCACGTTCCTGCATCCCATGATGCAACTGTTGTTCATATTCCTGGTGCGAGGGTCGAGGTAGTCTCCCACCATTGATATGATCAGGCAATATGGCAACATGTCTATCAGCCACATGGTCCATGGAGTGACTCTTTCCTGAAACCATGCCAGAATAGTTCCTCACCCCAGTCTCAGAATATGCTCTCTGTTCCCTCCCTGCATGTGCCTGTTGCTGAGACACTGTCACAAATGCCGTTTCCCTGGCCATCTCAGCATTGTGGGCAGCAAGACGCTGCTGAATTGTCGAAGTGAGAATCGAACATGCACCGGTTGGATACAAATTCTGTCTTGTATGTGCAGAATGTGAAGAATGTTGATCTGGTGTCTTTGGTGGCTGAATTTCAATTCCCGAATCTTCACTCACAATGGAGTCCTGTCGAGTAGCAATGGACAAACTCCTGGGTTTGGGCAAGACATTAGGGTCAATGACATTAATCTTCGGCTGGAAGGCAGATGGGCCACCTGAAGATGGAGGAAATCTTGGTGTGACTGGGGATACATGTTCGGACGAGGTGCTGGACTTGGAGGTGCCAGCACTCCATGATCGGGAGGGCGAGGTAATGAAGCCAGGGTTCTGGGGGTTGGTGTGCGGGGAGATGGGGGTGAATGATGTTGACCCACTTCTGTAGATGGCGGAACCTGGGGGTGATTGGGCTGACAGACGTGGCGAGATGGGTGTCTGCGGTGTCGGAGAGAAGGCTGGTGTCGTTGACCGAGAGTTGCCCAATGAGACTAACATATTGGCTGCCTCCTTCTCATCCATATCAAACTGATGCTGTAGCAGTCTGTCATGTTCAGTTTCACCTTCTCTTGATTGGTCTGTCCACTGAATCTGGCCTTCTTTCATCTCCCCTTTCCGACACCCAGGGAAAGTTGGAGCTTGACGAAGACTCTTGCCTTTCAGTGATAAATGTCTTGAACAAAAACCTCGCCTCTGAGACTCTTTTGTACACCCTTCTTTAGAGCACAACCTTCTCCATTGCTTTCCATTGAATTTTTTCCGTATTCCATTAGGAGTGGACACAACATCCCCTTTCTTGTATTTTGTTGTCAGGGGAGATCGAGGAGTACTCGACCGACTACTCTCTGTGGATTGGGCACTCCGACTGCGTGCAGATTCACGTTTTTTAGGAGGCTGCTTGTTGCGTTCACGTCCATTCTGTGAACGAGCACCTGGTGTTGCACTGCCTGATCTAGGTGTACTCATTCCAGAAGAGTCAAAGCTCAGATTCTCTGCTGTCATTTCATCTTCAGACGAGTCATTTTTATCAAAGCTTGCTATACTAGCAACGCTTGATGCAGGCCTCTCTATTCTATAGACTCCTCCACCAGGGATGGGCTGATACATGTGCTCCGGCTCGGAGAAGTTGTCCTCCATATCCTCATACCATGGAGGCTGGAGGAGCCGGATGTTGGCCCGAGTCACCCAGCAGTCTTCAGGCTTGTTTTCGGGTTTGTTGTCCAAGTGTATTTTATACATAACAGGTGCATTTTTCTTCTCCATCACAAAACCTTCATAGAAAACATTTTCTTCAGAACTGATTCTCACACACACTTTAGTTCCTATGGAAACCAGCATCCCCATCGGGGAGTTGTCTGATATGATGTCACACAATGGGGCATTCAAGATGTCGTTGTAATAGATTACAGTCTTATCATCAAAGCAGATTCCAATGTGTCGATTCTGACGAATCTGCTTCACAACACCAGGCTGGAAAACAGTCTCCCTTTTAGCAAGAACACGTTGATTCTTCCATTCATTTAAGTCAATAGCAGGTCGTTTTGGTGGAGGTGACACCACAAGTTCAGGCTCAATATCATTTGCTTTACGTTTTTTGGGAGGCTTGGCTATTGCTCTAACAACCTGCAGCTCAGTTGGAGACTTCTCGATACCTGAATCCCCAGGAGTATCCACAGGCTCTGGTTTGGGCATGTTGCTTGGGGTGACGGGCAAGCTGGTGGCCAGTGACACAGAAGACGAGGGCTTCGCCATTTCAGAGGCTGCCTCCTGATCAAGCTCCATACCAACTTTCTTCCCAGCCCGAGGTGTGCGTGTACTTTTAAGACTTGCTGCAGGAGTTGGCTTCTTTGCCTCAGACTCTTTGCCAGCATTCCTCTGACTTTGGCGTTTGGCCGTCTGCTCCATCTGTTCGTCTTTGCCTTTTGTTTCTACTTCAGTGTTGTTCTCCTGAATGGAAGACTCCTCAGGAACAGGGGCTGGGCTTTCAGATGTCTGATTGGCATTTCTGCGTCTGGATTTGGTTTGTCTGGGGCCTGTTGGTGAAGAGCTGTTAGATCGACCACGCCTGGTGCGACTGTCGCTACGTCTTGTCATCTTTTAGGCATGATCTGCAATGCACAAAAACTATCATCAAAAATCTACACTGAATAACAGTATATTTAACATGTCATGTTGAAGAATAAGTATGTTTACACATCGCATCATTCATACTGCTAGAATGTTCAAGAAAAAATCACTGAAACATAACAATGAATTTGTCAACCATGTTTACTACAGCTTAAGTGTCCATTTGTTTTTAGCCCCCAACAAATGAATCTATGGTCAAATCAATACGATTAAAATGTTGCGTCACATGGGTTGTGCCATGTACACTGTGACATAGTGTCTCCCCACCCCCGTGTTGTGCCATGTACACTGTGACATAGTGTCTCCCCATCCCCGTGTTGTGCCATGTACACTGTGACATAGTGTCTCCCCACCCCCGTGCTGTGCCATGTACACTGTGACAGTGTCTCCCCATCCCTGTGTTGTGCCATGTACACTGTGACATAGTGTCTCCCCATCCCTGTGTTGTGCCATGTACACTGTGACAGTGTCTCCCCATCCCTGTGTTGTGCCATGTACACTGTGACATAGTGTCTCCCAATCCCTGTGTTGTGCCATGTACACTGTGACATAGTGTCTCCCCACCCCCGTGTTGTGCCATGTACACTGTGACATAGTGTCTCCCAATCCCTGTGTTGTGCCATGTACACTGTGACATAGTGTCTCCCCATCCCTGTGTTGTGCCATGTACACTGTGACATAGTGTCTCCCCATCCCTGTGTTGTGCCATGACGTACACTGTGACATAGTGTCTCCCCATCCCTGTGTTGTGCCATGTACACTGTGACATAGTGTCTCCCCACCCCCGTGTGGTGCCATGTACACTGTGACATAGTGTCTCCCCATCCCTGTGTTGTGCCATGACGTACACTGTGACATAGTGTCTCCCCACCCCCGTGTTGTGCCATGTACACTGTGACATAGTGTCTCCCCACCCCCGTGTTGTGCCATGTACACTGTGACATAGTGTCTCCCCACCCCCGTGTTGTGCCATGTACACTGTGACATAGTGTCTCCCCATCCCTGTGTTGTGCCATGACGTACACTGTGACATAGTGTCTCCCCACCCCCGTGTTGTGCCATGTACACTGTGACATAGTGTCTCCCCACCCCCGTGTTGTGCCATGTACACTGTGACATAGTGTCTCCCCACCCCCGTGTTGTGCCATGTACACTGTGACATAGTGTCTCCCCATCCCTGTGTTGTGTCATGTACACTGTGACATAGTGTCTCCCCATCCCTGTGTTGTGCCATGTACACTGTGACATAGTGTCTCCCCACCCCCGTGTTGTGCCATGTACACTGTGACATAGTGTCTCCCCATCCCTGTGTTGTGCCATGTACACTGTGACATAGTGTCTCCCCATCCCTGTGTTGTGCCATGTACACTGTGACATAGTGTCTCCCCACCCCCGTGCTGTGCCATGTACACTGTGACAGTGTCTCCCCATCCCTGTGTTGTGTCATGTACACTGTGACATAGTGTCTTCCCATCCCTGTGTTGTGTCATGTACACTGTGACATAGTGTCTTCCCATCCCTGTGTTGTGCCATGTACAGTGTGACATAGTGTCTCCCCACCCCTGTGTTGTGTCATGTACACTGTGACATAGTGTCTCCCCATCCCTGTGTTGTGCCATGTACACTGTGACATAGTGTCTCCCCATCCCTGTGTTGTGCCATGTACACTGTGACATAGTGTCTCCCCACCCCCGTGTTGTGCCATGTAGACTGTGACATAGTGTCTCCCCATCCCTGTGTTGTGCCATGTACACTGTGACATAGTGTCTCCCCATCCCTGTGTTGTGCCATGTACACTGTGACATAGTGTCTCCCCATCCCTGTGTTGTGCCATGTACACTGTGACATAGTGTCTCCCCACCCCCGTGCTGTGCCATGTACACTGTGACATAGTGTCTCCCCATCCCTGTGTTGTGCCATGTACACTGTGACATAGTGTCTCCCATCCCTGTGTTGTGCCATGTAGACTGTGACATAGTGTCTCCCATCCCTGTGTTGTGCCATGTACACTGTGACATAGTGTCTCCCATCCCTGTGTTGTGCCATGACGTACACTGTGACATAGTGTCTCCCCATCCCTGTGTTGTGCCATGTACACTGTGACATAGTGTCTCCCCACCCCCGTGTTGTGCCATGACGTACACTGTGACATAGTGTCTCCCCATCCCTGTGTTGTGCCATGTACACTGTGACATAGTGTCTCCCCATCCCTGTGTTGTGCCATGTACACTGTGACATAGTGTCTCCCCACCCCCGTGTTGTGCCATGACGTACACTGTGACATAGTGTCTCCCCATCCCTGTGTTGTGCCATGTACACTGTGACATAGTGTCTCCCCACCCCCGTGTTGTGCCATGACGTACACTGTGACATAGTGTCTCCCCACCCCCGTGTTGTGCCATGTACACTGTGACATAGTGTCTCCCCATCCCTGTGTTGTGCCATGTACACTGTGACATAGTGTCTCCCCATCCCTGTGTTGTGCCATGTACACTGTGACATAGTGTCTCCCCATCCCCGTGTTGTGTCATGTACACTGTGACATAGTGTCTCCCCATCCCCGTGTTGTGCCATGTACACTGTGACATAGTGTCTCCCCATCCCTGTGTTGTGCCATGACGTACACTGTGACATAGTGTCTCCCCACCCCCGTGTTGTGCCATGTACACTGTGACATAGTGTCTCCCCATCCCCGTGTTGTGTCATGTACACTGTGACAGTGTCTCCCCATCCCCGTGTTGTGCCATGTACACTGTGACATAGTGTCTCCCCATCCCTGTGTTGTGCCATGACGTACACTGTGACATAGTGTCTCCCCACCCCCGTGTTGTGCCATGTACACTGTGACATAGTGTCTCCCCATCCCCGTGTTGTGTCATGTACACTGTGACAGTGTCTCCCCATCCCTGTGTTGTGCCATGTACACTGTGACATAGTGTCTCCCATCCCTGTGTTGTGCCATGACGTACACTGTGACATAGTGTCTCCCCATCCCCGTGTTGTGCCATGTACACTGTGACATAGTGTCTCCCCATCCCCGTGTTGTGCCATGTACACTGTGACATAGTGTCTCCCCATCCCCGTGTTGTGCCATGTACACTGTGACATAGTGTCTCCCCATCCCTGTGTTGTGCCATGTACACTGTGACATAGTGTCTCCCCATCCCTGTGTTGTGCCATGACGTACACTGTGACATAGTGTCTCCCCATCCCTGTGTTGTGCCATGTACACTGTGACATAGTGTCTCCCCACCCCCGTGTTGTGCCATGTACACTGTGACATAGTGTCTCCCCATCCCCGTGTTGTGTCATGTACACTGTGACATAGTGTCTCCCCATCCCCGTGTTGTGCCATGTACAGTGTGACATAGTGTCTCCCCATCCCTGTGTTGTGCCATGACGTACACTGTGACATAGTGTCTCCCCACCCCCGTGTTGTGCCATGTACACTGTGACATAGTGTCTCCCCATCCCTGTGTTGTGCCATGTACACTGTGACATAGTGTCTCCCCATCCCTGTGTTGTGCCATGACGTACACTGTGACATAGTGTCTCCCATCCCTGTGTTGTGCCATGACGTACACTGTGACATAGTGTCTCCCCATCCCTGTGTTGTGCCATGACGTACACTGTGACATAGTGTCTCCCCATCCCCGTGTTGTGTCATGTACACTGTGACATAGTGTCTCCCCATCCCCGTGTTGTGTCATGTACACTGTGACATAGTGTCTCCCCATCCCCGTGTTGTGCCATGTACACTGTGACATAGTGTCTCCCCATCCCTGTGTTGTGCCATGACGTACACTGTGACATAGTGTCTCCCATCCCTGTGTTGTGCCATGACGTACACTGTGACATAGTGTCTCCCCATCCCTGTGTTGTGCCATGTACAGTGTGACATAGTGTCTCCCCACCCCCGTGTTGTGCCATGACGTACACTGTGACATAGTGTCTCCCCATCCCTGTGTTGTGCCATGACGTACACTGTGACATAGTGTCTCCCCATCCCCGTGTTGTGCCATGTACACTGTGACATAGTGTCTCCCAATCCCTGTGTTGTGCCATGTACACTGTGACATAGTGTCTCCCCATCCCTGTGTTGTGCCATGTACACTGTGACATAGTGTCTCCCCATCCCTGTGTTGTGCCATGTACACTGTGACATAGTGTCTCCCCATCCCTGTGTTGTGCCATGTACACTGTGACATAGTGTCTCTCCACCCCCGTGTTGTGCCATGACCTACACTGTGACATAGTGTCTCCCCATCCCTGTGTTGTGCCATGTACACTGTGACAGTGTCTCCCCATCCCCGTGTTGTGTCATGTACAGTGTGACATAGTGTCTCCCCATCCCTGTGTTGTGTCATGTACAGTGTGACATAGTGTCTCCCAATCCCTGTGTTGTGTCATGTACAGTGTGACATAGTGTCTCCCCATCCCTGTGTTGTGCCATGTACACTGTGACATAGTGTCTCCCCATCCCCGTGTTGTGCCATGTACACTGTGACATAGTGTCTCCCAATCCCTGTGTTGTGTCATGTACAGTGTGACATAGTGTCTCCCCATCCCCGTGTTGTGCCATGTACACTGTGACATAGTGTCTCCCAATCCCTGTGTTGTGCCATGTACACTGTGACATAGTGTCTCCCCATCCCTGTGTTGTGCCATGTACACTGTGACATAGTGTCTCCCCATCCCCGTGTTGTGCCATGTACACTGTGACATAGTGTCTCCCCACCCCCGTGCTGTGCCATGTACACTGTGACAGTGTCTCCCCATCCCTGTGTTGTGCCATGTACACTGTGACATAGTGTCTCCCCATCCCTGTGTTGTGCCATGACGTACACTGTGACATAGTGTCTCCCCATCCCCGTGTTGTGCCATGTACACTGTGACATAGTGTCTCCCCACCCCCGTGCTGTGCCATGTACACTGTGACAGTGTCTCCCCATCCCTGTGTTGTGCCATGTACACTGTGACATAGTGTCTCCCCATCCCTGTGTTGTGCCATGTACACTGTGACATAGTGTCTCCCCATCCCTGTGTTGTGCCATGACGTACACTGTGACATAGTGTCTCCCCATCCCTGTGTTGTGCCATGTACACTGTGACAGTGTCTCCCCATCCCTGTGTTGTGCCATGTACACTGTGACATAGTGTCTCCCCATCCCTGTGTTGTGCCATGTACACTGTGACATAGTGTCTCCCCATCCCTGTGTTGTGCCATGTACACTGTGACAGTGTCTCCCCATCCCTGTGTTGTGCCATGTACACTGTGACATAGTGTCTCCCATCCCTGTGTTGTGCCATGTACACTGTGACATAGTGTCTCCCCACCCCCGTGTTGTGCCATGTACACTGTGACATAGTGTCTCCCCATCCCTGTGTTGTGCCATGTACACTGTGACATAGTGTCTCCCCATCCCTGTGTTGTGCCATGTACACTGTGACATAGTGTCTCTCCACCCCCGTGTTGTGCCATGTACACTGTGACATAGTGTCTCCCCACCCCCGTGTTGTGCCATGTACACTGTAATGTGGTCCCTGTGCTGCTTGATGAAGAAGAGAACCACAGCACCACAGGATTAAAATGTACCACAGGATTACAGTGGGGTGGAGTGGTCATCGTGCTGCCTGGTGAAGAACAGATCCACTGTACCAAAGGAGTAAAATGGGGGTTACCATGACAGTGTAACATGATAGTGTGTCTGCAACAGCTGGGTAAGTGAACATGTTTTACAGTGGTGTTACCAACATGTAAGCTAAATGAAAGGTCTTATTGTTACAGCAACATGCTGCATCATATGTGTGGCTGTGTTTCCCCCTCCCCCACTATGTGAAGCCACCGACAACATGGCCACCCTGGACTCCAACAATACAGGCAGAGGACATTTACCTACATATTTATGAAACTACTGTCAACATACTCTTCACTTTTGTTTCACAAACTGTAGAACTAACATTAGTAACAACACAGAACCTCAATCACTGTGACATGGTTTCCCGAGGGTAAGGTGTGACACAGGCTGTTTTGACCCATGGGATCTGAGCTAATTCACATATCAGACATATCAGATGTGCTTCCCTGTACATGCGTGAGAACAAATGTAGAGATAGGCAAAATATTAAAAATAAATATGAGAGTTTGGAACACAAGCAAGTCTTTGGCCCAAGCTGGTATTGTAAGGAATTGTACAAACATGCGGCAAAAGATCATCATTTCACTAAACTGACAAAGGGGATGGTCGCTTATTACAACAAAACACAACAAGTTCATTTTGTCATCAGAGATCGATCAGTAGTGAACAACATACTAAAAACATTGATGAAATCCAAACTTTTTCAACAATAGTTGGCATTAAACAGACGTGTGCCCCATCTACAAATAATACACAAGGAGAAATGGACTATCATGTAACTGTTCGGGCGTAGTACTGGACACACAAGAGATAACAATTTCACTAATTTACAGATGGTTCTCGAAAGGGCAGGGAGCACTTGATATGATACGTGCATGTTTTGATCAGGCCCTAACTGGCCTAAGTCCAAGACTTGCAAATGTAGTTAAGAAAAACAGCTAGTTGTCAGCTATATGAACATCAGAAATATTCATGCCAATATTTCCAAGATTGATGTGCAGTTTATATCCATAGCTCTAATAAATATTAATCTTACCCTGTCCCTAAGAGTGTGGAATATAATACATTATGGCTGCAACCTTTCAGTATTTGCAAATACCAACACATTACCCTATACCAACCAGTTGTTCTTTTCACTCAAGTTGATATCTACATACAGTAAACTAAGGTTATAAAAAACTCAAAGGGACCACTAATTTTAGTTCATTATAACTGTAGTTCGTCATAAACATATATACAGCAAATGGCTGGGTTGGTTGGTTTGTTGTTTAACGCCGCACTCAGCAATATTCCAGCTATATGACGGCGGTTTGTAAATAATCGAGTCTGGACAAGAAAATCCAGTGATCGATATCATGAGCATCAGTCCTCGCAATTGGGATCGATGATATGCATCAACCAAGTCAGCGAGCCCGACCACTTTAGTCGCCTCTTACGACAAGCGTAGTCACCTTTTATGGTAAGCATGGGTTGCTGAAGACCTATTCTACCCCCCGACCTTCACTTGTCGCAAAAGACTGGGACCAAAAAAAAATGTCGGTTACATCCGCCATTATAAGCGCTTTTGTTATAAACATAGTTTACTGTAGTTTCTGCTAAAAGATCCCTCCATTAACTCATGTTTTATCATGTTTATATATTTTGAAACTTCTTAAACATTAATCTTCAATATTGTCTGTCATGAGATAATATTCATTGAAAAGGTGTTAATAGTGCTGTTACATTTCTGTAAATATCATGAATTTATTATTACACATAAACGTATTCGTATATATATTAAGATAATAGGCCCACACTATTTCAGATGAACCACCCATGATTTGGTCCCAAACTAACCACCCCCAGTCACCTTTTCTTCATCCAGTTCACTGTCAAATAGGTCGTGTGCACTGTCACAGACAGTGGTGTTTCAAATACCTGTGTAAATACTATGAGAAGAGAACGCAACTTCTACATATATCAATAATGACAACATGACAGTTTATGCGACTGGCATCTTAAGGCGTCGCCTAAATATGGAGAAACATTTCAACAAAGAGAGCGGTCACCCTAGTTGGTTCGCCTTCGTGCAAATCGCTGACCTCGCTCAGCTATACCGATGACAACAAAATGGCTTCGCCGGTAGAGAAATATGCGACACGTTTGATCTCCAAAGTTAGACTTAATAGTACAACAAGTTCTTATTTTGTTCACGGACATGTAACTATGATTCAATTTGAATGTTCTCAGCTCCAGAGAGACTTATGGTTCGGGCAATAATATAACTAAATTTGCCACAAATTGCGTCTTCGGTGAACGCCTTATCACGAATCGAGGACAGGCGTTTGTAACATTCCGGCAACTTTCGTGCCTTTCAGAAGGAAAGTACATCAAAATTGAGTCGAAGATTGAATAGTCAGTTAAACAGATTGTAACAGTACCGTTACGAAATGAGTCAACGATGAAGAAAAGACAACTGGTTTACCTTGAACGGTCACCATATTACTGGCAGTCTTTCTTCGAGTTGACCATTTCCACAGCACTCGAAGCTGGGAAACTGGCTTGAGCTAAAAAAGGTGAATGAGCTTATGCCCTCTCGTTTGATTGGTTCGATTGGGAGCCCAACCAGTCATGTGACCTTTCATAGATGGATTCCACTGCATTGATTGGCTAGCTAATGTTGTGGCTGACATTCATCGTTTACTATCTGGGATTTACTATCAGCGAAGAGACTACCACAACAACATTATGCATTAGTGTTGCATTGTAACGTAGGTGCAAATTGCAGACATATAGTGTGCATTTATATCGAAACATATGCACATGCATATATATGCAGCAGTATCAAAAAATTACTCCTCGTGAAATCCAGGGTTATAATCCATTTATCGAACAAAGGGTTATAATGAATACGTCACGCAGAAAAGAACCAATGAGCGCACGATCATATCCAGGGTTCTTGTCATTGGCCAATCAAATAACAGCTATGTGGGTCAACAGCTGTAAATGGAAACACGGGACGCACATTTGTGTGTATTTGTATGCAGTTACTATGAGAGTTACTACACTTGTTGGCTAGGCTCGATCCGGGCCCACGTTCTCCTGGACAGGATTGCAAAACGCAATGACTCAGTCGTATTGAGGCAGAAAGCGTGCCTCCTACGGTGATATAACATATTACATGACGTATTGCCACGTTCACAGTATTTAGCAGCGAATAAGAAATTATTACAAATCTAAAAGGCGACATTTCCCAGTGTCCTGATTATTTAACTTAAAGCTCGCCACAGTCAGAGAGATACGAACAGACGATACTATGTTGGCGACAGGCAGTTGATACATGTGTTGTGATTATTACTCCAGTTTTTAAAAAAAGAACGCCAACGTTTTTGTGTATGTACCTAAATATATTGTGAAGTGGCTTGATAGGGCATTTCTTCATAGGTTTCAATAACCGGGAAACAAAGGTAGAAGTAATTATAAAACCTTTCAAACCACCAGTGCCGTGTTTGATTATAACTAAGTAACAAAAATCAGATCATCTGAGAACATAAATCTCAAGGTATATACATGTATACTTTTATGTCAGACCCACGCAAACCACGTACGTACCACGGAATGTAGTTTATATTAAACATATCTATTTTTAGCGTCGAGGAAGACTTTATCGCCAAGACATTGACGCGAAAGATGGAAGTAAGCGATAAACGTTAAGTCATGTTCAATGCACGAGTTTCTATAATTATACCACACACCTTCACGTAAAAATAAGAAAAAAACCTAACCGGGCTATTCAGATTGTTTAAAGCGTGAATCACAGTACGTGACTACATTCGGTGTCTCTCGTATGCTTCCGGTATGTTACGCTATTTTTAAAATGCATCAACTAGGAAGTATCCAAATGCTTTGAATATTAGTTTCAAGTAGGGAGAGTACAGACGACAGATACTTAAGAGATGTTTAAAGCCAATATTTGAGAAGAGAATACACACACTCCAAAACAGTAGGGGATATTAGAAAATAACACATGATTACAGACTCGAGTGATGGTGATGTGACAGTCTTTGATCAAGCAATATGTATATTGACAGAAAACATTCCAGTCAATATACATATTCAATGATTCACTCAGGCAATGTACATATTGACTGAAATTTTCAGTCAGTGACATTTTGAGGGTGTCATGTCCACTTCTCTTGCCGCGCCTGGTCAATTTCAGCTCACGATGCGGGTGGCCGTTGATGTCGGCGTGCACGTCACCCGATCATGTCCTAGTTGTGCTCAATCAGTCGGAAATGGCTGGCCGTTGCTTTCTGGTGATGTTTTGCTGATGGATGTAGACAGCTATGATACGTACACGGTGGGCACGAGCTTTTCTGTCTTGAAAAACAAAACGTGGACTGGCATGACGCGCAAACGGCAGCACACCCTTTGGCGCCAGCATACATGCATGCGTTGTCTCGGTAGTACTGTCCAGTGACCCTTCCAGTGATTCCGCCCCATATTATTACAGACCCAACCCTTAATCTCCCATGTCGCGTTACGTTGACATTCGCATGACGTTCGTGTAGGACGCCTCCAGAAAAATAAACGCGTATCCAGAAAGTCCAGAGTCGGACTCATCTGAGAACACAACACAAGGCTGCAGGCGATTCTCCAAGTTTCTACGCTGCAAACACTATGGGCATGTAACTAGAATGTGATGATTTGTTTAACGCTTGTACGAAATGCAGGTGGTCGCCGAGCATGCAGAAACTTGAACTCCTTTGGCCGGGCGCATGTGAACAGTGTTTTTCATAAATGGTTTCATAAACACCACGGTCATTACATTTTTTTTGTCGACCTATGGCGTCCTGTGCGGGGCCGGTCACTTTTATTTTGTGTTTGCAAAAACCTGTTGGAAAGTCTGCAAATCAGAGACCGAGGAAAATTGAACATATTGTCAACCCCACTTCGAGTTCTAGCAGTTAGAAGCCTGCTTATAGCCCTTAGCAGGTAATCACGTTGTAGACGACGCATTCACAATCTGATCCGGTCGGCTAGAACAGATCTTCAGTAACCCATGCATTTTTGCCGGTCCTCACGTCATCATGCTGTCAATCACTGGAGCCCCCCCCCCCCCCCCATGTTGGAGGCTGTAAAATAATCTGAGAGAGGATTTTGATATTTTGGACTCCTCCCTTTTGGAAATGCTGGATCCACCTTTGCAAACTTGATTATTTGCAGACTGCCGTCATATAGCTGGAATATTGATGAGTGCGGAGTTATACATCAAATAAATAAACAAACAAACAAACAAACAAACTAATTCGACAACAATGTCATGCGAGTAAATACTGTCTGACTAACGGTCAAGTGCAGCAATAACGGTTTGGAACGAAAAGAGCAACAGATTGTTTTGTCATTGATTCACGCAAGTACGTCAAAACAACTGATTACATTCGAAATGTGCATCTCTCTTGCAAGGTGTTGACGACGGGCGTATCGTGACTGAAATGAACCCGTGTGTACCACGTGATCAGATTCTGACCTCTATATGAACCGAAGTGTTGACATAATACCAAAAAATATGCCGATAACGCAAACACATGGCTTAACATACCGCTTTGACTTAAATATGTGAAATATTGCTTTATATATGTAAGAGACGGACACAGCAACCTTGTTTACCAGAGCGTTCACTCGTCATGTTAAGATCATATGTTGACAATAATTGGTGAAATCCGCATTAGGATTCCCGGTTACAATGGTCGTTGATAGCCGGCCTGGTGACATGGGTGAGTGTAAGTCATCGTTCCAAGATCATAACATAAATCACTGGTTTGTCTGGTCCAGACTCGATCAGTTTCAGTCATATAGTTGAACTATTGCTAAATGCGGCGTTAAACAGACACAAACAAAAAGGTAGCCATTCTCAATGCTCCGCGTCGTCACGAGGCTGGAATGTCGCTAATTTCACCTGACCTACTCACTTCCATGTTGAAACAGAACATATACGTGTGGAAGGTAATATACGCAAGCTTATGAGTTGTAAAATATTCTTTCACGAACAAAAGCATACTATACTATTTTCTTTGTCATAATCATTGAACTATAACCTCTATGCCCAGTGCTATGTGGCAATATGCCGATGCGACGTTAAATTTAACTCGCTGGCCTCTGCGTGCCGAGCCGCATGAGCCAAAACATGATGTCATGTACGGGCGGACCACTTCGCTGTGCAGAGTTACTTCCCTTACAGTGCACGCAAACGTTCGTCGTGGACCCAGACCCCTGACAATCCCGATCGTGCGTGTATGCATAGAGTGAGCGGGTGGGCCTTAGTGATCATACCTTTTCTTGAAGACTACTAATATGTCGAAACTTTAAATGAATAGTTTTACCATAACGTTGTTCCTTTTGACGACGACGGGTAGAATCTCAACAAGGGGTCGGGCACATGTGTCAGTGTCAAACCCGACCCGCACTGGAGGAGTCGCCCATGTCAGCAGAAGGCGTGTTTTACTGGGTACGGAACAAAGAGGGGTAATTAAGTCTCTGGTTGTCGATGTGTCTCGCGATATAATCTGAGTTAATTATATTTATGATTTGCTTGTTGGGGAAAGTCGATTGTCTCTCGGATCGGTTCAAGCCGGGGCCCATCCTCGCTAAACAGCTTCGTGATCAGTGAGGCGTGAGCGCGCCAGCTATGACCCTTAGTTCTCATCAATGAAACAATTAGCGTCTCATTTGTTTGTTATTCTTGTTCATTGTTTGATGTATATCAAAGAAAATCAGATATATTTTAGTCTGATGTCAATACATGTATGTATTTAGATACTTCAACATGGCGATATTTATCTCCCTCTAAAACCATGACAAGTCATGTAAGAGAAGGGAAATTCTACTAGCCCCCCAAACAAAAGCTCAAACCCTGCTTTAACCGCCAACACGGATCATATATTACAACTAAACGAACGATAAAAATATAATTTAAAAGAACATATTTACATTCTTTGATGGGTGGAAATTAGAAACGAATACATCTTTCAACTTAGTATAAACATTGTTCAAATATGTTTCCACGTAATATGAATGAGATCAGACGTAATTTTATTTTTACCACCAAACTAATAATGCTGGTTTCCTTTTATAACATACAACTATACTATGTAAATGTACAACACCGTCACAATCAGAGCGAAAAACGGATTCGAACACAAGATCAAGCTTTGACGATGATGTTGGGTGATGCAGCATCCTGTGATACAGTAAGACAGTTAATTGTTTGACGGTGAAGCGTGCTGGCACCATGGCAGGCGTATGCGGGCTCTTTAAAGGTTTTTGCTGACCGAAAGATTTTGATCCGAAACTTATGTTAACAAACTGCTCGCATGTCAAGCGCGTGCATGGATGAGGGGGCGAACGCATGATCCCGGCGTGTTATAAACAAAAGCGTTATGCTTGGGACTTAAGCATATTTTCACAAGTATAATAATATTGACCATCTTCACAGAGGTAATGTCAGTTCAAGGGGCAAGGGTGGCCAAATCGTCTGAGGCGCCGTGCCAGAAACCTATGATCGCCGAAACGCCGTGACGCAGCGTTAAACCCAAGTCACTCACGTCAATACAAGAACGCGTGAAAAGTATATTTTATGTGTGCATGAATATATAACAGTCCTTCACGAGTTATGCCCCTTCAGTGACATCTTTTGATGTCAAGACGAAATGATTGATAATTCACGTTGAAAATGTTTTTGACATTAACTGCCCGTTTGAGCACTTGGGGATATCTGAAGAAATTAATGACAGTCGATAAGTAAATAAATACCATCATGACCTAGCTTTTTATTGGTAATAGGGCGATGAAACTAAATCTGTCAAATATCTACGACTGTATATATATCTTTTTAAAGCCCCACGCTGGCTAAGTATAAATGTCCCGCAAGGTGGCGGTGTTTTCGAAGAGTGACTGACATAACCGAGTGTCGGGAGAAGCTTTTTGAAAACCGTACGTAAACAAGATCACCAAAGACCGTCAAACTTCCTATCAACTTGAATGTCAAACCTTGGATACCACAAATGGCTCCATACCCAGATATAAGACTATAAATTTTCTGTAGTTTTATCACAAAAAGTAGAATCGATCGTGTTTGAACGTAAGACTCGATTACAGTGGGCGGAGCGTATTAAGGGTTGCGCTATAAATAGCGATGTTGCGGATGGACAGTGTTGTTTGAAGTCCTGGAAGACAGAGCGATGGCGACAGTGTGAGATCTGATTGTCCACAATGATGACGATTCAGAACAGAACTTTATTCACTCAAGGCTATGAACATAGCATCATGAGGAGTTAATAGAAATCTAAAATATAGACATGGCGGCACAACATTCTCTCTTCCATATACAGCAGTTGTGCTGTATAAATGTACAAAGAATGTGGCGACATAAATAAGACAGTTTCCCCAGAGTAGATACATTTTTACGCTGTAATAACTTGGTCATTTTAAAAACTGATGGCCGATTAATGTAATAAGGAGATAAAAAACCTTGAATCATTAAAATACACACAGTTAAACAAATAATGGTATTCATCTGCAGGGTCATTTGATGGACATAATGTACATTTTCTTTCCATGAGAGGAATGTTCTGGCATCTACCTCTTTCAACAGGTACGCGGTGACAAGAAAGTCTGAATTGAACTAAACTGGTTTACTTTTGTTAGATAAATATTGTAGAAAAAATTCAATGTCAGTATTTTCATACCTTGTCTTGCAGAATCTGCTTCTACATGATGTTTCTCGGTCAGAGTTCAATTTTTGAATATATTGGTCTGAGTGTTCTTTTTTATGATGAAGCCAATGACTGTGTTGATAGACTTAGTCCGTCCACGTGTGATTATGCCCTGTCCTAATTAAACTCATAAAGGAAGACATCCATTTGTTTGGTTGACTTTTTCGTCTTTTCTTCTGAAATACCATTAAGGACGTTATAGATAAGACCAGATAGCTTCGAGATAATTTTAGTATAAATATCTATACATAGTGGCTTTCTTCCTACTTTACTTTATAGCATACGTAGAGCATATGGTACTTTTCCTAACAGGTAATATTTTTCTTATGAACGTTAAGTTGATGTTTTCAATCATATGTAAGTTTTCAAAACCCTATATTTCTGATTCGTAAGTTACGATAGCTTGAGCTGGCAGTTAATTGTCAGATTATTATGCCTAGTTCGTGACAGAATAAAAAATATGTCTTTTGTAACCTTTTTACATAAATACTTTCTTGTATTGAATACTTTACATTTTTCAAAATTTAGTTTTAGTTTCCATCGATTGCAATAATCGGTAAATACACCCTGTCCTTTCTGCAGATCATCCTCAGAACAAGTTAACATCACTGTATCGTCAGCATAGAGCAAAGGGAATTACTTTACGTAGATATTTACGCGGTCATCTTCGAGTACATTCCCATCACAGTTATTGAAAGTGAAGTATTGTATCAAGATTTTCACCTTGCCTTCAGCCTTTTAAGCAGTTTACATTTTATGTAGTATGGCCTTTGAATGACAGGCATGGCTTAATACTGTCATACATAGATTGAACTATTCTGAAACATGTACCTGTAATTTCATATTTAATTAGCTTATTCCATAACCCAGCTCTCCATACACAATCAAACGCCTTTACAAAGTCAATAAAAGCACAAAACAGTTTTTTCTTCGGTTCTTTAACAAACGGACAATACCATGAAGTGTAAATATGTGGTCGCATGTTGACTAGCAGTTTCTAAATCCAGTTGGAATGTATGACAAGGAATGAGATCTAAGAACGTAGTAATAACGTACTCATGAATCACACCAATGCAATGGATCTGTAATGTTTCGGATCAGTGTAGTCACTTTGTTTTTATAGATGCGTCTTACAATCCCTTTCAACGAACTAGCAGGATAATATCCCGTATCAAGCATTTTAATACGTACACTTTGATCATTTTGTATATAGAGCATATAATATATTCATTGATGACATTAACTATACCACACGTCTCAATACCTCTTCAGTTGTGATAGGTCAATCCAGAATCTTATTGGATTCATTTAAATTTATATGTACAAGTTTATCAAAATCATCATCCTCTTCATTCATTTCCTTTTAATGATCATAGATCTCTTCCAACGGAGGTAACTTATCTTCAGAATGTCCTTGTTTTAACAGTTTCCAAAAAGATTTCGAATCATTCTTGCTTAAAGAATCAAATTTGTGTTGTAATTTACTTCTCAAGTCATTGCTGTTTCTTATAGGGTTTACTTGCATTCTGGAAGCCCAACTTTACTTGTGCTGTATATTGAGACCAAACTTTTGCTGCAATAACTGGTAGCAACAATTATGAAGATAATGGCTCACATGACGGTGATATTCTTCAGTGGTATTAATAATGTATGTTATCATCGTCTTATAACACTTGATTGATGGTTAAACATCTCTCGCTTTTTGTTACCATGTATTGGTATCCGAGTAGAAATTCACAAACAAATCGATCTGTTTGTGGAAGCTTCAGTAATCATGTGCTTCAGCGTAATTCATTATAATAATAATTATAGTCAGTTCCTGTCTCCAAAGCACCAACGGAAGTTCATGAGGATATACGTAATAATTGCCGGGCCAAAGAAAGTATACACCCAATGGATAGTGGCTACAAATGAAACGAAGAAGAAATGGTTATTCGATGGTGATGTATTTGCTACGTGTTTCATGGTTGTGTTCTGGACCTCAAGTCTGCAGTGTTTCGGCGACTGGTTTCAGCATGGTGATGTTTTGATAATGTTTCTAATGTTTTGGTCGTCTTATTTTCAAGCGTATGCGCTCTTTTTTTTTTCTCCAGTTTCCTAGTTGGTAGATTTCCTTTCTTCTCTCTGTTACAGGATAGCCCATAGTGTAAACTAAAGCGTTCGTTCTACACGCAGAACACCAGCACCTACTTGCACAAATCGATCTTAGCGCTAAGGTGATCGTAACTCCCACACTTTAACATAGGCTAGCAATAGTCTAAGCACAAGGATCGCTTTGTGCAAGTGGGCCCAGGGCTCTATTCCCAAGTCATGATGTATTGATATTGCAAACAAAATACAAACCTCGTGGAGTTTCACTGGGTGAAGCTATCAAGATGGTTTCCTGCAAACATGTTTTTCCAGTAGAGCATATGTAGCCTCTGGCTGCAAGAAGTCCGCGGTTGACCTCTTGACCCATGCACCTATTTCTTTTTATAATCCAAAGACTTCACTTCTACACTGTGTCATAAATTTAGACGGGGAGGTAAAATGTGGTTTAACGTCGCGTTCAAGATTATTGCACTTATGTAGCGACGCGCGTGCGTGCTTGCTTGTACCTGTGCTGACTAATGCCGGTTTTATCGTGCTAGCAAAGTCCCTTGTTTTAACCGATTAATGCTGAACGCCAGGCAGGGAAACAAAGAGTACCATGTTTTAACGTATTCTGGTATTCGAACCACCGACCTCCATTCTCCGGCAGATTCTCTATCCACTAGACCACAGAGGCAGTATATATCGCAGGGGGCACGACATCAAAGGCGCGGCAAATCGCTGTGCAGAGTTCTGTCCCTTATGCGTGCTAGAAACCTAACATGGTGGGTTCGAATCCCGGTTCACCGTGATTGTTTCTAGGTTTTAAGCACCAACAGCGTGCTCGTTGGATTCACTGAAGTGTTGAACGTCTAAGACCTGCATCACATCGGGCTTTCATTCCCCATCACGCCGTGATAAAACCCAAACACTGTATAAAGCGGCGGTAAACTCATCCATAATTCACTGAGTTATAATGTGACCTGGGGAAATGAGTGTCATCGTACCCCGATTGCGCAGACTGTTGATATCGTAACCAGATTCTCTCATTCTATATAACTTTACTCACTTATTTGATATCTTCTCATGTCATTCCGGCTGTATTAATAGAAAGACGTTTTAACCCTTAAGATGCGTCACCATATTGTATTCTGTTTACGACAGTTACTAAATACGAATGGTATTTGTGAATGTTTTCAGTTTGAATACATGCAGTCTTTCCATTCTTGCTCATGCCTGGTTCTGCTTGTCGCAACATCCTTGTGGTTGAACTAACGTAACCTAAATAAGTGACAACTGGTCACGAAGGCCTGAAGGCCGTGGAATGCCAACATCAAAGCATAAACACCATCATGGATGATATAGCGAGAGACAGCGCTAAGACGAGGTATCCAGAGGTATACATGTCTTTCTTTCCAAATCCATAACCGGCATCCCAAGCCTGGAACAGAAGTGTAACATTTCTTAATTTCATGAATTAGGTCAGATAATTTTAATGTATATATAGATTACTAATGAGTCGTCGTTAGATACCGTTTTCATTCCGAGTCTTTCCCCCGTTAGGCCTGGCGGAGTTGCAGTGTGCACAACGGATTGTACGATCACACTTACTTAAACGCCAAAAAGTATTGAAGTCATGCTTAAGCAAAGTGTGTATTTGATATTAAAAAGGTGATCTGTGAGTAACGCATTGTTTTACGGTTTTCCGGTCAATATGGTAAGTGAAGGAGAGGGACGTTCACACCATAATGTTGTCCATGTCTATTTCAAGCTGATGTAAGTAATAGAGACACATGGCAGTGTAGCTTATCTGACATATTTCAGATACCTACTGTTACCAACACACAATGCCATTTAGCAAGTGGTCAAATGTAACAAATGTTGTATTTGGAATAACACTTTCTTAGTAAAGTACAGATTCTCGCACTTTGTTGGGTTGAGTCCCATCCGGGATTCGAACTCACACTGCCATTGTGAGGCACCTAATCGCCAGGACAAGTGTCAATTGGCACGGCCCCCATGGCCGAAAGAAAGACACTTGTCAGAGGGGTACACAAATACGTGATCTAGACAATCAGTTATCGGACTTTCATTTTTGTGGAAGCTTCGGTGGTGGGTTATATCGCTGACTTTGTGTAATGGCGATTAGGTGACTCACTCTGGCAGTGTTCGAATCCCGGAATCTGTACTTTACTAAGAAAGTGTTATCCCAAATATAACATTTGTTATACCTAGTGTTTGCCTTTTCTCCCCAATGTTTGCAGACAATGTGATGAAACATGTTGGCAGACTTGCGTTCAGGCTGTGGTCGGCTGATTGTGTACCCTGAACTTTATGGGACTACTTTCGCGATGTTAAAATCTGAATTTGGCAAACCCGGTCTTCCATGAGTACTCACCAAATGCCTGATTCCGTTCAGAAAGTGGTATGCGACAGGCAGAGCTAGCGAGTACTTCATCCCGGTGAGGATAGCTGGCCCCAGGGACAAATCCTTGATCATCTGTAGATAGTAGGGATAGCTCTCTGGGAGACACAGCATCAGGACAGAGACCCCGGACACAACTGTAACACAACACAGTGAGGTCAGACAGACAGACAGACAGGGAGTAGGGGTAGCTCTCTGGGAGACACAGCATCAGAACAGTGACCCAGGACACAACTGTAACACAACGCAGTGAAGTCAGACAGACAGTCAGACAGACAGACAGACAGGGAGTAGGGGTAGTCAGATACACTCCAGTGACACTCACCTAGTCAGATACACTCCAGTGACTCTCACCTACAGTCAGATACACTCCAGTGACACTCACCTACAGTCAGATACACTCCAGTGACACTCACCTTCAGTCAGATACACTCCAGTGACACTCACCTACAGTCAGATACACCCCAGTGACACTCACCTACAGTCAGATTCGCTCCAGTGACACTCACCTAGTCAGATACGCTCCAGTGGCACTCACCTACAGTCAGATACACTCCAGTGACTCTCACCTACAGTCAGATACACTCCAGTGACACTCACCTACAGCCAGATACACTCCAGTGACACTCACCTACAGTCAGATACACTCTAGTGACACTCACCTACAGTCAGATACACTCCAGTGACTCTCACCTACAGTCAGATACACTCCAGTGACACTCACCTAGTCAGATACACTCCAGTGACACTCACCTACAGTCAGATACACTCCAGTGACGCTCACCTACAGTCAGATACACTCCAGTGACACTCACCTACAGTCAGATACACTCCAGTGACTCTCACCTACAGTCAGATACACTCCAGTGACACTCACCTACAGCCAGATTAACTCCAGTGACACTCACCTACAGTCAGATACACTCCAGTGACACTCACCTACAGTCCGATACACTCCAGTGAGACTCACCTACAGTCAGATACACTCCAGTGATACTCACCTACGGTCAGATACACACCAGTGACTCTAACCTACTGTCAGATACACTCCAGTGATACTCACCTACTGTCAGATACACACCAGTGACTCTAACCTACTGTCCGATACACTCCAGTGACACTCACCTACAGTCAGATACACTCCAGTGACACTCACCTACAGTCAGATACACTCCAGTGACACTCACCTACAGTCAGATACACTCCAGTGACACTCACCTACTGTCAGATACACTCCAGTGACACTCACCTACAGTCAGATACGCTCCAGTGACACTCACCTACAGTCAGATACACTCCAGTGACACTCACCTACAGTCAGATACACTCCAGTGATGCGGTGTGTGAGAGACATACTCATCACGAGGTGCGGTCTGGAACAGAGGAGAAAGTCACTGAGTATATGTAGTTAAGCAGTGTATGGTGACAGTACTGGCTGACTGGCAGTCTTTGTTATCTACAATCACGAAAATTCTCCCCGATGTTCTCTGTGTCAAGCCATGCCATCTCTACCTAACCCCGCTCCTGTTGTCCTGTGTCCTGACCCCTACCCACCCACTCCCTGATGTCCTGATCCCCTCCCCACCTCCGCCCTTGATGTCCTGACCCCCTACCCATCCTTGCCCCTGTCCCGTTTCTTGACCCCCTACCCAATCCCGCCCCTGATGTCCTGACCCCTACCCACCCCCGCCCCTGATGTCCTGACCCCTTCCCATACCCGCCCCTGAGGTCTTGTAACCTGACCCCTACCCACCCCGCCCCTGACCCTCCTTGTCACAACGCCCCTACACATCCACACCCCGATGCACCGTGCATTATGAACTTACTTGTATGTGAGGAAGGGAGACAGTGGACGACTCAGGGCTCTGTTTTTCTCCCAGTATTGTTTCATTTCCTCGTATCCTCGCGATGACGTCATGGACATCCTGCGCAAACCATAGCAACACAGACATCAGTTACCCAGTCACGACAGGTTAATTCTAATGAAATACTAATATTGTGAAAAACGTGACCTTTTATCATTGTCCGGACAGGACCTGTCTCTGGATCTGAAAGAAGCCATGTACGTACAGTTATATGTTCACTGCCACGGGATCGTACCGTCAAATACCTTAAAACCACCAATTGTACTAGTTTCGATTGTCCAATGAGACACCATCATTTCATCACCAGGGCAGGGATTTACCTGGTCTTTCTATTTGTGAGTCGTGGGTACCCTCAGTTATTATTTGTAGGGTCTAAGGGATGATAACGGGAGTTCTCGGGTGACTACTGAACACACAACTAACATAAAGCTTTATGCTGATTATGGATCGTGTTTTCCCTGCTTGAAACAACATGAGTGTTTAAGTGAAAACAATGATCAATAGTCATAAAATTGTATGTGCTTGCTATCATGGCCACAACTGAAATGGATGCAATGACAGCGAGCCTTTAATTCTTGGGACTCACAGTGCTGTCTTTATTTATCCTTGCTCAGTGTGTATGCGCATTCGACGCAATAGTGTGCATCCGGTACAACCCTGTGTACAGGACGTTCATGTACCGACGTCACACCCATCAACATACAACTTCTTCGGCGGATGCGACGTATTGGCGGAGTCTTGTTGTAGCAGACAAGACCAAATCGTAGAAGATGACGGGTTGTTGGAATACTTCATTAAAAGTGTTTCTGGCATAAAATGTAGCGTATTTTAAAGCAGTATTACGCAGTTTAAAAGCATACACCAGAACCATTTCTGAGCATACCTAAGAGGGACACTAATTTTAGTTTGTTATAACTCTAGTTCGTTATAAACATATATACAGCATGTATACAGCAAATGGCTGAGTTGGTTGGTTTGTTGTTTAACGCCGCACTCAGCAATATTCCAGCTATATGACGGCGGTCTGTAAATCATCGAGTCTGAACCAGACAATCAAGTGATTGACATCATGAGCATCGATCTATGCAGTTGGAATACGATGACACGTATCAACCAAGTCAGCGAGTCTGACCACCCGATCCCGTCAGGGGTCACCCGACCTAAGAATGTGCAAAAATATAGTTTTTACTTCGAGTGCAAATCTCATAACTTTCGCTCTTCAACTACAATGTCCGTATGTATGACTACACCTAGAGTTCAACAGATATAAAATAATGTTATATAAATCTTTCAAAAACAGATCATCGCATCAACATCACTCAAAGTAAGATTTTAGAAACGTATGTTTTATCTACATATGTCTATGTACTGGTATGACATTTGCGGCTGCATCAGCAGGGCAAACGACTACCCTTGTCGGTGTAAAGCTGCTGAACCCCCGGAGCTCAGAAATGGTTCTGGTGTGTGCTCATCTGTCATATGAGTAAAACTGCCTTAAAATGCCCAACATTTTATGTCTGAAACTCTTTTAATGAACTATTCCAACAACCCGTCTTCTTCTACGATTTAGTCTTGTCTGATCCAAAAGGACTCTGCCGATAAGTCGCATCCGCCGATGCAGTTACTGGATGTGCATGTATGTAGTGCACGCTGTTTGATGCACGTGATCACCATGCAAACCATTAGATATGACCTCCCAAATCCAACTGTGTGCATGAACCGCACGAGCAGAAGCATTTATATTATTTGTAGTCGAGGGAATAGTGCGTTTATTAAGACGATATCTCATAAGTGTGATAGACTAGCGTCTGTACAGGGTTAGGAACTAACAGTTTTTGTCCACTAGTCCTTTTAATGATAACATAGAGCAAAACCCCTAAAATGGGCAAATTTCTACTAGTCCTTAGGATACCTTTACCATTGGGCAGTTTGGTAAGGACTACAGGACTAGTGCCAATTTCTAACGCTGCTGTATAAATTGATCATGTTTTATTATTTAGCTGTTCTACTCCAGTAAGAAATAAACAATGTTATTTGTATATATCAGATAATGCAGTAACTATCAATTATTTATTGTATATATTTCAGGTTTATAAAGTAAGTATATTTATTGATGTATCTGCAATAATTATGTCTTCATTTCAATATGTCTTCATTTCAGGCTGCATAAGATATTTAAGTAGTTGTAAGCTAGTATCATCATTATAGATCTACTCTTTACCTGTCCCCCATCAATGTAGGGTAGACAAGTATCTTTGTTTATCTAATCAATGTGGAGGCCCAGGTTTTGTCTTGATTGGCTAGTTTGAAATCTCAGTGCCCTACTTTTAAAACCCTTTGTTTTCACCTCTGCACTTTTCAATGACACTCCACTCTGCACTGGGGAAAAGAGAGGACCAGTAAAGGCTAGTAGTTTGAAATTTATCATTGTATTCTATTTAATCCAGTATGATGTATGAATAAATGTTTATATCTCCTTAGTGGTATTTAAACATGACACCTATACCAGTGTGTGGGTGTGCATGGTGAGTGTATTTGTACAAGATAACTTTGATCCAGAGGATCAACATAGCGCAAACATTTTTTTATTATACCTACCTATTGAGGCAAGTACCTACACTGTCATAAAGCACACATGTGAAACCCAGAAGGTAAAACAAATGGTAAATTACATGTGGGACGTGCTTTAAGAATCAGAAATGAGAATTATGGCACATTTCAGTTTAAATATTTATGTAATATAGAAGTAGAAAACTAACATTATGAAAACAAAACTAGTAATTATTATGTTTTCACACCAATGACGTCCTGAAACAAATGTTATTGTTTTCAAGGAACAAGGGGTAATAAGTTGACAATCATAGTGGTATACAAAACTATATATGATACTGTTGACAGGTATATCTACAGCGGTAAAGATTTAATATTTTAAAAGAATTCATCTTTTCAAAGTAATAGTTACATTGTTGTAATGCTATTTTATAATAAAGTAGTTATGTGGAGACATGCAGAAATTGTTAAACTTGAAACCCATGGCGTTGTGAGTGCGTTAGTTATATTTAACCATGAGCCATACTTCTCTATGGGAGTTACCTCCCTGATGGTTGTTTACTCATGTAGTTAATTATATACACTGTCCCAGCGTGCTAATATCGCGCTACACGGATACTGGATCAATGTTTCCCGCATAGCGATATGCTGTAGGCCTGTACCCGACCCTCTCGACAGACAGACCCGCTTCACGGAAACAGGTCAACGTTTCACCGCAGCGAAATGTTGTATGGGGAAATAGGTCGGATAGAGCTGGTCTGGTAACTTTCTCTTCGCCTCCTCGAGGCTGCAGGCGAGGAGCGTAAGCGCTCTAGGTCAGGTAAACCGGTCTAGGACAGGCCGTGAATCCCTCTCATGTGCCGAATAACACAAACATGTTTGTGTAGTGTAATAATTTACAGATATGATTGCTTAAAAAATATTTTTATAAATATTAAATTATTTCGCATGTACGCATATCATTATATACACATGTGAGGCAAATATAAAGTTTCTCTTGGAAGTTTGTTTACATTTTTCCAACGATCCCTCATCCTCACTTTCTGAAACCAAAAACAAATAGAGCACGGCGCCAATAAGATGTAATTCATTTGATGGTATGCGTGCTTGTGGTGATCTAGGTAATTTTGTGTTTCCATGAGGATAACCACCCGGATACACCCAAATTGGATCCACCGGGTATAGATACATACATATTATCATAAATGTATGATTCTGATTGGAAGAATTTTACCGTACATAATATTACGTTCATTGTACCATATTTATATTATATGTACAAATGTAACAACAAAAAAGGATATACCATAGCTTCTAATTGTGGAATCTCACATCATTAACATCTTATAAGTGTAGTAGATTATTACTTAGTCTGCTACGGCTTTACGTGCATTGTGTGATGGACAAGTGTATTCTTATTATTGCATTCATTGTTACAGGTGTCGTTTGTCATCAGCAACGTAGCCTATCATGTTTTACCACACCCGCACACAGTCCTGTGTATTACAATGGAGCCCCAGTGAGGACCTGTTGAGGACAGATGAGAAGTTGAGAACAGTGATAACCCCAGTCACCCAGCGACAGACTGCATACCAATGTGAAGACGTGGTAACTTGGAACTATTTGTGTGCCGAATGGGATCAGTTGTACCAGATTACAAGACTAAAACCACACAAGGACCCTTTAACAACTATGCTTAGATTGTTTACACTTTTAGTTAATATTCTCAGTAATGAACACACTTTTATATACTGACTCCTTTGTATATCCTTGCTGAAACAGGACTGAGGTAGTAAATTGGATTGTACCTGAAAAATATCAACTTCTGCAAGGATCTAAGTAGGGTATTACTGGCCCTTTAAGCAAAACAGTATAATAAATACTCTATGGATATTTGTATTAATAGGTGAGGTGAAATGGGGTTTAACCTCGCGTCCAAGATACCATGCCGCAGTTTCACAGGAATACCCCACCCTGACACAGTATACTGATATCACATAAGTAATTATACTCTTGTGTTCATTTGTATGATTATTACCTATCTATTTTCACAAAATAGAACCCTAACCCCAACCCAAAAGTGAAAAGGATGGGTGAACAATCGAATCGTGTTCATACCGCTCTAAAACATAATATACGAGACCCGTGAAGAGAATAGGTCTTCAGCAACCCATGCTTGCCGTAAAAGGCGACCGTGCTTGTCGTAAGAGGCGACTAACGGGGTCGGATGGTCAGGCCCGCTGACTTGGTTGATGCATGTCATCGTATCCCAATTGCATGGATCGATGCTGATGATGTCAACCGCTGGATCGTCTCGTCCAGACTCAATTATTTACAGACCGCCGTCTACAGCTGGAATAATGCTGAGTGCGGCGTTAAACAACAAACAAATTTTATACATGATACTATTAAATACATCAGTGAAGGTTGAATGTTACAAATGAAATATACATGCCAAGCTAGATGTGTATATATGATAAATATACTTGCACTTTATATTAATTAATTCATTTACTAAACTGAAATCTACTAGTTTTTGATATGATGTTTTGAATAGAATCTAATAATTTAATTTGATCTTCCTTGATTAAATACGAATTTCCGTAAAGCACTGTTTGTAAAGAGTAACCATGTTGATAAATTACATTTAGAAGAATATCGAAAATCGACACACAACCAAGAAATGTAAAACATCTTGGCATGATTTCCTCAGGAACAATTTTTAGTATCCAAAATATGTCTATTATACTGATCTGAGATGGCTGCAATCAAGTGTGAGGCGACTGTGAATAATTTGACATAATCTGTTTCCATAATTTAAATCCAAGTGTATCCCAGTACATAAACTTCCTTGTAGCAAGTTCGTAAATTTTATAACGGTCTATGTTGTCTCTGTAACTTCTGATGGCATATTCTGAAGTTTTGTTGATGCTGGTATAAATGAATCTGCATTAGCTTTTGTTTTACACTGTTTGAAGATTAACTCCTAAAGTTATAATTTGTTCTTTCCGAAACTGTATTAGGAGGTGAGGTGAAATGGAGTTTAACATCGCGTTTAAGATTATTCCACTTAAATAGCGACGTGCATGTACGTGTGTGTATGTGTGGCTGCTTGTACAAGTCCGGACCGATGCCGATTTATCATGCTAGCCCACTGAGACGAGATGCGCAGTTTTACATGCATACGCCACTCAGATACAGTATACTAAGTCCGAGCCGACCAGGCCCTTTAATGACGGCGGGCGCCTGGCTGGGTAACAAGTTCCACCTTTAAACGTCTTTCATCTTTCATTTGTATTGCATTCATCATATTTCATGTGTGACAACATAACATTCTTATCATGACACCACATCGTAAGTACAGTATATGTTCATATATATCATCTTGACATAAAAAAAGTTAAGTCACCAGTCAAATTAAATTTAAGTAAATTAACTGCAGCAAATGTCAGAAGCCAGTTCTCACTGTGTCATGAGACAAGATAGGTTGATATGTATTCACATTCTTCATATACTGGTCTTTACAATGTGTGTTAAAAGGACTAGTCTATTATGGGAAAGGGAAGGCAGGTGTTCGGTAATCATTCGTTCATGTGTAACCTATCCCCTGTTTAAACTATTATGTAATGAGCTGTAAGCAGAATGAGAGGCAACCCTCTTCAAAATCAAGAGAAAATTAGGACTGGTTCTCCTGGATTCCACTTGACAGACTCCGTAAATCTACATGTAAAGGCTATGTAAGGATGTGAATGCCCGTCCCCTGTATTCCGCTGCGCCGCGGAATACAGCGGGGACTGATAATATATAATATAAATAAAGACGACATTGTGCAACTACTTACCTACTGTTGATGCCCAGCAATCGCAGACTCAGCAGGTTTTGTCTGCTCAGTGCTCTGAATAACATTACAAATAAATAGGCATCGTTAACTTACAAACATGTGTCCAGTGTTAAAGAATGTGAAACAAAACTCTGAAATATTCACTTTTCCAAGCAAGACAGCTTGAGGGAGTTTGATAAAAAATGGAATAAACAATTTTCTGTTCCCAATGAAATATCTATAGAAGAAAGAGTACAAGTGTCACTCCAACAAGACTAAGAGACTAAGTCATATATCCCTTAGAAATCATGAATTGTATTGTTGAGCATTGTTGTACAGGCAGGTAGTGTTGTAACTAGTGTAAGTAATATTCCTTATCGGTGGAATGGCTTGTTTTCACTTTATGAGTATTAGCACACATGCAGCTATCTTCGTTAGTTAATCATTTCTTCTCAATGGGATTCTTGCTTCCGTGGCGAGTGATCCCACCGTGTCTACCTCCGGATTTACCACTTTTTGTACTAACCAGCTGTTAAGCAAGAGTTATCTTTCCTGTCCATTACTATTCAGAGGAAATGTCACGCATTTCTTAAACAATGATCTCTAGCCATTCACGTATTATAATAGTCAATACTGATTTATCTATGCATGTTGGTTACAACAATAAGACAGGTGCTGTTACACACTGAAAGATTCACGTGCAATCAGTGGTGGTGTTATGACGTTACACGTTTGCTTGAGTCTATCGGTAATCTGTAACTACTCAACGTGTCAATATATCACCGATTTGCAGAAAACATATACACAAAGGAAGACAATGTAACGAACGTCATTGCACATATTTACGATCATCAATGTAGCTTCACTATATTGATTTATTCAACACTATGAATTACATGCCTACCTCAGTAGTGTCGCCATCTTGAAAGTTTCGAAAACATGACTTCATATATTAACGAAGTGGTTGAAAGTGTGAACAAATATCTACTCAAAGCTTCGATGGTCAAGTTTGCGTAAACGAGACAAGTACTGTTGATTTATATACAGTGTGAGTTGTACTTTGAAATGGTGCTCGTGGAGGGCGGGCTTTGAAGAAAAATCAGATACTTGTCACAATGTTATTGAGATTGAAAATTATCGTTCATGCATTTATATTAATGGAATGCAGGAAACTTATGAATACCTTGATTTTTATACCCCTTGTTCCCAAACCATTTACATTTGAATACAGCTTAACCTTTCCTTTGGCAATGTAAGTGTTAATGATTAAAAAAAACCAACGGGATCGAGTTATTGTTACTAAGACAGCAATCAAGTAAAAAAAAACCTTCGAAATATACTCCTCAAAGTTTGCTAAGGTTTAAGTTTTGATGTATCAAAGAATCCACTGCAAATAAAAGACTGAAATATCTCGGTACACAATGATTTGTGTAACCTCAAAAGGACCTCTACTCAGACAGTGCGTAATTGTCTCTGTGAGGGTGGTCTCCGGTCACGGAGGGCATGCGTTCACATGCTACTGACCAGACATCACTGGCAGGCACGTTTGGATTGGGCTGAAGATCACGTCAATTGGACAGACCAGGACCAGTACTTTTCACATATTATCAATATACTGTCTGGCTTCACAGATCGACGTGCCCAAGTGTGGCGTAGACAAGGAGAAAGATTTCAGGAGTACACCACGACCGCAATGGAGGGGCTCAATCATGATTTTAGGTGGGATTCGTAGAGCTGGAAGAAACGATGTCCACCTCCTACAGCGGGGCAAAATAACAAATGTGCGCTACAGGGATGACATTCTGGATGAGTATGTGAGATCGACTTCATGCCCATGGATGATCCAGTGATCGATATCATGAGCATCGATGCACGCAATTGGGATCGATGACATGCATCAACCAAGTCAGTGAGCCTGACCACCCGATCCCGTTAGTCGCCTTTTACGACAAGCAGAGTCCCCTTTTACGGCAAGCATGGGTTGCTGAAGACCTATTCTACCCCGGAATTCGTGCCAGGGTCATTGATGACCATTGTCTGTTTGAAGTGGCCAGCCCGGTCACCAGACCTCAACCCAATGGAAAACATGTGGAACAAGCTCCAGATCGCCTCTCATGACGACCTGTCCTTCCCCCAACTCAGCAATGGTCCTAATGAAAAGTGGAACAATCTTTCCTTGGCAACCATCCAGACACTTATTGGGAGCATGAGATGATGGTGCGAAGATGTATTAGCATAACATGGATCACATTCGCGCTATGGCAAGTTGGATTTTTTCGGACAATGAATTTGTTTTCATGATTGTTTTACGTTTCAGTCAAATACTCTCATTTTGACGAGTGCTTAGACTGATTATTGAACACATGTTGTTTGTTAGAATTTTTTGTCACATGGAAAAATCCAATAATTTGCTCTTTGGTGGAGCGTGCAGTCAGCATTTGACTTTATAAGAACACTATGAAAGTAAGAATCGTAGCTATCTGCATGTCCGACTATGGTAAATGCAGAGCAGTACATGTAGCTACGATTTCGATTTCGATTTCGCAGCACTACATGAGGCTGTGAAGTGGCACCGAAATGTCCTATTTTTGTGATTTTTGTCAAGTATTTACATGTACTTATGGAAACGAATAAGGGAACAATGGAAAAAAAATATGGAAATAAACTTAACTGTCAGAACATTCGTAATACTGCACATACAAATGCAACACATGATTGGCACACTCTGGATTAACTTCCGGTAGACAGCTCGTGGAACATCACAAAGACGTTTCATTGGACTAATGTCTGGACTCTTGGCAGGCCAGGGGAGTAATGTGACGTTGTGGATTTGAGAAAGTCCACTGACACACGGGCCATATGTGGACAAGCACAGTCTCATGAAACTCCAAGTGTCGCTTAACACTACACTGTGTGTTACCATTGACTTCTTCACGGTAGCAAAGACCTACCAGGCTACCCTCAATCCGTTGGAGTTCAGTTCTACCATCATAGGTAACACCAGCACGCGTCTTTGTCTTTATACCCATTACGTTATGGTTTGCATATGCTAAAGCTACTGTAGAGATGAGTTTCTGTGCATTGTTTCCAACACATATTTGATGGAAAAGACAGATCTCATGATTGCCTTTTTTGTAACCGAGTCTACAACTCAGCTTTCCCTTCACTCTCCATTAGTACAAAATGAGACTAACATTATTGGTTGGTCAGACTCTGTGACTTGGTTGATGAATGACATCAATGCTCATGATATCAATCACTGGACTGTCTGGTCCAGACTCGATTATTTACAGACCGCCTTCATATAGCTGTAATATTGCTGAGAACGGCATTAAACAACAAACAAAATGAGTCATAAGTCCATCTGATCATCTGTTACGTTGATAGGTGTAACCTGCCAGCACAGGTATGCTGGACACCGAAAACTTACTGACAGCTGCCATGTTTGGAGCCTCTCAAACATCACTATGTAGACATGGGACCAATGTGTATCCATGCAGCGCAAGGCTGTAAGCCCAAACTTCATGTGAAACTTTGGTAAGTATATCCCAAAGTGCACTACTGCCCCGTCCTAACCTGTACTACATCCCTGCTGTGATAAGGACTGATCCTTGCATGAGTAGGTGCAGGACATTATCGATAAACAGGGACCAGGAAATGCAGCACACCGTTGAAGGTTTGGTTCCTTGCACCGCAATTATGACGAGTATATTGCATCTTGGCCTGTACCCCCATGGGTTTACTTCAGTCTGTGACACCCCACTGTTGAATCTTTACATGATTAAAAACTGTTTTTACATTTCTCAAAGTACATGCTAGAACATATAACAATCAACCACCATTATATATTTAACAAAACATTTATTTTAATTTAAACAGATACATTTATCATGTTCATCATGCATGAATGATGTAAATTAGAATTCCACTGTTTCAAATATATCTATCTGATCAAACAAGCTACATATCTCAGCCAGTGTTTCTCCATGATTGAAATTATTATTAAAACCACACAGGACAATATTTCCACAAAATGAAAGCCATCAGAGATAATTTCAAAAGACAAAATAGTACAAAAGGAGATGTTTCACATACCCACTAAATCCTTTAATTGAAATGTTTTTGGCCTGAATTCACTTTATTTTGAAGCTGCTTTAAAAACCATTTCCCACTAATATTAAGCACACTGTACTACAAAAATGTGTAACAGCAGTATATATTCATACCTTCCATCCCGTGCATACATTCACTTTCAACCAGTTTTAACATGCAATATGTGAACAGAGCCTGAGCCAGCTTCACAGATAAAGAAGATAATCAGGGCACAGACAAACTTAAGTAAGGATTTGTGATTCATTGCAAATTAACAAGAGCACAATGGACACCGTCATACTGTCCGCCAGAACATACACACCTTGTTACCATAAACTCCAAGATTTGGTGGCAAGATTGAATGTTTTCAATAACTGAATCCACAAGAGGTTTCATGTGTCCATTGTGTTCTGTCCAGCACACAGATTCATCAGAGATCATATCGCACATCAATTCACTTTCAACTAACTGGCATTATTAAGTTGATCTTTGTGTGGGCAGGAACAAACACTCTCCTGTGAATATGACTGTGTTGAGCAGATCTGGTCAAGCTGCTAGTGATGTTCCTATGACGGCCTGCCAGCTGGCTTCTTCAAGCATAGACACATCAGCTGCTTGAGATGAAAAACTACTGTTGACTTCACATACCAAACACAAACCCTGTGGATACAGCCAGGGACAGGGCCATCACAAAGTAGCCCGACTTGTACAGGTTTTTCAGTCCGAAACCGTATCCCGCATCCCATGCCTGCAAAACACGAAATTGTATGAATACAGTGAATGAATGTTGTTTTAGGCAGCAGTCAACAAGGTTGGTGAGCAGGCGAACAGGTGGCTGACAGCAAGTACCCGACTCAGGACACATTGACACACAGTCATCACTGGCATGTGGAAACCACCCCATCCTCAATTTACTTGTCAGTCGACTCAGAAAAGCATCTGCCCTTTACAAGCGTCATTTGGGCCAATTCAGTCAAGCTGCAAGTGTTATTTGTGGGCTAACGCAGTCAAGCTGTATGTATTATTTGCAGGGTAATGCAGTCAAGCTGTCTATGTCATTTGTGGGAGTGTAGTTGGCTAATGCAGTCAAGCTGTATGTGATATTTGTGGGCTAATGCAGTCAAGCTGTACGTGTTATTTGTGGGCTAATGCAGTCAAGCTGTATGTGTTATTTGAGGGCTAATGCAGTCAAGCTGTACGTGTTATTTGAGGGCTAATGCAGTCAAGCTGTACGTGTTATTTGAGGGCTAATGCAGTCAAGCTGTACGTGTTATTTGAGGGCTAACGTAGTCAAGCTGTATGTGTTATTTGTGGGCTAATGCAGTCAAGCTGTATGTGATATTTGTGGGCTAATGCAGTCAAACTGTACGTGTTATTTGAGGGCTAATGCAGTCAAGCTGTACGTGTTATTTGAGGGCTAACGCAGTCAAGCTGTACGTGTTATTTGAGGGCTAATGCAGTCAAGCTGTACATGTTATTTGAGGGCTAACGCAGTCAAGCTGTATGTGTTATTTGAGGGCTTATGCAGTCAAGCTGTACATATGTGTGTACATATGACGTTTATTCAGGACAGTTAAATGTGAAGGTATAAGAGAAAAGGTTTTATGTTTTTGATATCATTTGGTTTTTCAAATTGGAGCAAACAACTCATGCAAGCTTCTTCTTTCTTTTGGAATGCCAGGAGGAAGGTAATGTGCAGGATTTACTTGTCCTGGAAATCCATCTGTTGTAGTCCAGAAAATAAGGGAAAACTCCCTGATGCATGGATCTGAAAATGAGCCTGGAAAAACAAATATATTAAATCACTTTTCCCCAAGCCTCATGTTTTACTTACCAAATGCCTGATTCCGTTCAGAAAGTGGTATGTGACAGGCAGAGCTAGCGAGTACTTCATCCCGGTGAGGATAGCTGGCCCCAGGGACAAATCCTTGATCATCTGTAGATAGTAGGGGTAGCTCTCTGGGAGACTCAGCATCAGGACAGAGACACCGGACACAACTGTAACACAACACAGTGAAGTCAGACAGACAGACAGGGAGTAGGGGTAGCTCTCTGGGAGACACAGCATCAGGACAGAGACCCCGGACACAACTGTAACACAACACAGTGAAGTCAGACAGACAGACAGGGAGTAGGGATAGCTCTCTGGGAGACACAGCATCAGGACAGAGACACCGGACACAACTGTAACACACCACAGTGAAGTCAGACAGACAGACAGGGAGTAGGGATAGCTCTCTGGGAGACACAGCATCAGGACAGAGACCCTGGACACAACTGTAACACAACACAGTGAGGTCAGACAGACAGACAGGGAGTAGGGATAGCTCTCTGGGAGACACAGCATCAGGACAGAGACCCCGGACGCAACTGTAACACAACACAGTGAAGTCAGACAGACAGGGAGTAGGGATAGCTCTCTGGGAGACAGCATCAGGACAGAGACCCCAGACACAACTGTAACACAACACAGTGAGGTCAGACAGACAGACAGGGAGTAGGGGTAGCTCTCTGGGAGACACAGCATCAGGACAGAGACCCCGGACACAACTGTAACACAACACAGTGAAGTCAGACAGACAGACAGACAGACAGGGAGTAGGGGTAGCTCTCTGGGAGACACAGCATAAGGACAGAGACCCCGGACACAACTGTAACACAACACAGTGAGGTCAGACAGACAGACAGGGAGTAGGGATAGCTCTCTGGGAGACACAGCATAAGGACAGAGACCCCGGACACAACTGTAACACAACACAGTGAGGTCAGACAGACAGACAGGGAGTAGGGGTAGCTCTCTGGGAGACACAGCATAAGGACAGAGACCCCGGACACAACTGTAACACAACACAGTGAAGTCAGACAGACAGGGAGTAGGGATAGCTCTCTGGGAGACACAGCATCAGGACAGAGACCCCGGACACAACTGTAACACAACACAGTGAAGTCAGACAGACAGGGAGTAGGGATAGCTCTCTGGGAGACACAGCATCAGGACAGAGACCCCGGACACAACTGTAACACAACACAGTGAAGTCAGACAGACAGGGAGTAGGGATAGCTCTCTGGGAGACACATCATCAGGACAGAGACCCCGGACACAACTGTAACACAACACAGTGAAGTCAGACAGACAGACAGGGAGTAGGGGTAGCTCTCTGGGAGACACAGCATCAGGACAGAGACCCCGGACACAACTGTAACACAACACAGTGAAGTCAGACAGACAGGGAGTAGGGATAGCTCTCTGGGAGTCACAGCATCAGGACAGAGACCCCGGACACAACTAACACAACACAGTGAAGTCAGACAGACAGACAGACAGGGAGTAGGGGTAGCTCTCTGGGAGACACAGCATCAGGACAGAGACCCCTGACACAACTGTAACACAACACAGTGAAGTCAGACAGACAGACAGGGAGTAGGGGTAGCTCTCTGGGAGACACAGCATCAGGACAGAGACCCTGGACACAACTGTAACACAACACAGTGAAGTCAGACAGGGAGTAGGGATAGCTCTCTGGGAGACACAGCATCAGGACAGAGACCCCGGACACAACTGTAACACAACACAGTGAGGTCAGACAGACAGACAGGGAGTAGGGGTAGCTCTCTGGGAGACACAGCATCAGGACAGAGACCCCGGACACAACTGTAACACAACACAGTGAAGTCAGACAGGGAGTAGGGATAGCTCTCTGGGAGACACAGCATCAGGACAGAGACACCGGACACAACTGTAACACAACACAGTGAAGTCAGACAGACAGGGAGTAGGGGTAGCTCTCTGGGAGACACAGCATCAGGACAGAGACCCCGGACACAACTGTAACACAACACAGTGAGGTCAGACAGACAGACAGGGAGCAGCGGTAGCTCTCTGGGAGACAGCATCAGGACAGAGACCCCGGACACAACTGTAACACAACACAGTGAGGTCAGACAGACAGACAGGGAGCAGCGGTAGCTCTCTGGGAGACAGCATCAGGACAGAGACCCCGGACACAACTGTAACACAACACAGTGAGGTCAGACAGGGAGTAGGGGTAGCTCTCTGGGAGACACAGCATCAGGACAGAGACCCCGGACACAACTGTAACACAACATAGTGAGGTCAGACAGACAGACAGGGAGTAGGGGTAGCTCTCTGGGAGACACAGCATCAAGACAGAGACCCCGGACACAACTGTAACACAACACAGTGAAGTCAGACAGACAGGGAGTAGGGATAGCTCTCTGGGAGACAGCATCAGGACAGAGACCCCGGACACAACTGTAACACAACACAGTGAGGTCAGACAGACAGACAGGGAGTAGGGGAAGCTCTCTGGGAGACACAGCATCAGGACAGAGACCCCTGACACAACTGTAACACAACACAGTGAAGTCAGACAGACAGACAGGGAGTAGGGGTAGCTCTCTGGGAGACACAGCATCAGGACAGAGACCCTGGACACAACTGTAACACAACACAGTGAAGTCAGACAGGGAGTAGGGATAGCTCTCTGGGAGACACAGCATCAGGACAGAGACACCGGACACAACTGTAACACAACACAGTGAAGTCAGACAGACAGGGAGTAGGGGTAGCTCTCTGGGAGACACAGCATCAGGACAGAGACCCCGGACACAACTGTAACACAACACAGTGAGGTCAGACAGACAGACAGGGAGCAGCGGTAGCTCTCTGGGAGACAGCATCAGGACAGAGACCCCGGACACAACTGTAACACAACACAGTGAGGTCAGACAGACAGACAGGGAGCAGCGGTAGCTCTCTGGGAGACAGCATCAGGACAGAGACCCCGGACACAACTGTAACACAACACAGTGAGGTCAGACAGGGAGTAGGGGTAGCTCTCTGGGAGACACAGCATCAGGACAGAGACCCCGGACACAACTGTAACACAACATAGTGAGGTCAGACAGACAGACAGGGAGTAGGGGTAGCTCTCTGGGAGACACAGCATCAAGACAGAGACCCCGGACACAACTGTAACACAACACAGTGAAGTCAGACAGACAGGGAGTAGGGATAGCTCTCTGGGAGACAGCATCAGGACAGAGACCCCGGACACAACTGTAACACAACACAGTGAGGTCAGACAGACAGACAGGGAGTAGGGGAAGCTCTCTGGGAGACACAGCATCAGGACAGAGACCCCTGACACAACTGTAACACAACACAGTGAAGTCAGACAGACAGACAGGGAGTAGGGGTAGCTCTCTGGGAGACACAGCATCAGGACAGAGACCCTGGACACAACTGTAACACAACACAGTGAAGTCAGACAGGGAGTAGGGATAGCTCTCTGGGAGACACAGCATCAGGACAGAGACCCCGGACACAACTGTAACACAACACAGTGAGGTCAGACAGACAGACAGGGAGTAGGGGTAGCTCTCTGGGAGACACAGCATCAGGACAGAGACCCCGGACACAACTGTAACACAACACAGTGAAGTCAGACAGGGAGTAGGGATAGCTCTCTGGGAGACACAGCATCAGGACAGAGACACCGGACACAACTGTAACACAACACAGTGAAGTCAGACAGACAGGGAGTAGGGGTAGCTCTCTGGGAGACACAGCATCAAGACAGAGACCCCGGACACAACTGTAACACAACACAGTGAAGTCAGACAGACAGGGAGTAGGGATAGCTCTCTGGGAGACAGCATCAGGACAGAGACCCCGGACACAACTGTAACACAACACAGTGAGGTCAGACAGACAGACAGGGAGTAGGGGAAGCTCTCTGGGAGACACAGCATCAGGACAGAGACCCCTGACACAACTGTAACACAACACAGTGAAGTCAGACAGACAGACAGGGAGTAGGGGTAGCTCTCTGGGAGACACAGCATCAGGACAGAGACCCTGGACACAACTGTAACACAACACAGTGAAGTCAGACAGGGAGTAGGGATAGCTCTCTGGGAGACACAGCATCAGGACAGAGACACCGGACACAACTGTAACACAACACAGTGAAGTCAGACAGACAGGGAGTAGGGGTAGCTCTCTGGGAGACACAGCATCAGGACAGAGACCCCGGACACAACTGTAACACAACACAGTGAGGTCAGACAGACAGACAGGGAGCAGCGGTAGCTCTCTGGGAGACAGCATCAGGACAGAGACCCCGGACACAACTGTAACACAACACAGTGAGGTCAGACAGACAGACAGGGAGCAGCGGTAGCTCTCTGGGAGACAGCATCAGGACAGAGACCCCGGACACAACTGTAACACAACACAGTGAGGTCAGACAGGGAGTAGGGGTAGCTCTCTGGGAGACACAGCATCAGGACAGAGACCCCGGACACAACTGTAACACAACATAGTGAGGTCAGACAGACAGACAGGGAGTAGGGGTAGCTCTCTGGGAGACACAGCATCAAGACAGAGACCCCGGACACAACTGTAACACAACACAGTGAAGTCAGACAGACAGGGAGTAGGGATAGCTCTCTGGGAGACAGCATCAGGACAGAGACCCCGGACACAACTGTAACACAACACAGTGAGGTCAGACAGACAGACAGGGAGTAGGGGAAGCTCTCTGGGAGACACAGCATCAGGACAGAGACCCCTGACACAACTGTAACACAACACAGTGAAGTCAGACAGACAGACAGGGAGTAGGGGTAGCTCTCTGGGAGACACAGCATCAGGACAGAGACCCTGGACACAACTGTAACACAACACAGTGAAGTCAGACAGGGAGTAGGGATAGCTCTCTGGGAGACACAGCATCAGGACAGAGACCCCGGACACAACTGTAACACAACACAGTGAGGTCAGACAGACAGACAGGGAGTAGGGGTAGCTCTCTGGGAGACACAGCATCAGGACAGAGACCCCGGACACAACTGTAACACAACACAGTGAAGTCAGACAGGGAGTAGGGATAGCTCTCTGGGAGACACAGCATCAGGACAGAGACACCGGACACAACTGTAACACAACACAGTGAAGTCAGACAGACAGGGAGTAGGGGTAGCTCTCTGGGAGACACAGCATCAGGACAGAGACCCCGGACACAACTGTAACACAACACAGTGAAGTCAGACAGACAGGGAGTAGGGATAGCTCTCTGGGAGACACAGCATCAGGACAGAGACCCCGGACACAACTGTAACACAACACAGTGAAGTCAGACAGACAGGGAGTAGGGATAGCTCTCTGGGAGACACATCATCAGGACAGAGACCCCGGACACAACTGTAACACAACACAGTGAAGTCAGACAGACAGACAGGGAGTAGGGGTAGCTCTCTGGGAGACACAGCATCAGGACAGAGACCCCGGACACAACTGTAACACAACACAGTGAAGTCAGACAGACAGGGAGTAGGGATAGCTCTCTGGGAGTCACAGCATCAGGACAGAGACCCCGGACACAACTAACACAACACAGTGAAGTCAGACAGACAGACAGACAGGGAGTAGGGGTAGCTCTCTGGGAGACACAGCATCAAGACAGAGACCCCGGACACAACTGTAACACAACACAGTGAGGTCAGACAGACAGACAGGGAGCAGCGGTAGCTCTCTGGGAGACAGCATCAGGACAGAGACCCCGGACACAACTGTAACACAACACAGTGAGGTCAGACAGGGAGTAGGGGTAGCTCTCTGGGAGACACAGCATCAGGACAGAGACCCCGGACACAACTGTAACACAACATAGTGAGGTCAGACAGACAGACAGGGAGTAGGGGTAGCTCTCTGGGAGACACAGCATCAGGACAGAGACCCCGGACACAACTGTAACACAACACAGTGAAGTCAGACAGACAGGGAGTAGGGATAGCTCTCTGGGAGACAGCATCAGGACAGAGACCCCGGACACAACTGTAACACAACACAGTGAGGTCAGACAGACAGACAGGGAGTAGGGGAAGCTCTCTGGGAGACACAGCATCAGGACAGAGACCCCTGACACAACTGTAACACAACACAGTGAAGTCAGACAGGGAGTAGGGATAGCTCTCTGGGAGACACAGCATCAGGACAGAGACACCGGACACAACTGTAACACAACACAGTGAGGTCAGACAGACAGACAGGGAGTAGGGGTAGCTCTCTGGGAGACACAGCATCAGGACAGAGACCCTGGACACAACTGTAACACAACACAGTGAAGTCAGACAGGGAGTAGGGATAGCTCTCTGGGAGACACAGCATCAGGACAGAGACACCGGACACAACTGTAACACAACACAGTGAAGTCAGACAGACAGACAGACAGGGAGTAGGGGTAGCTCTCTGGGAGACACAGCATCAGGACAGAGACCCCGGACACAACTGTAACACAACACAGTGAGGTCAGACAGACAGACAGGGAGTAGGGGTAGCTCTCTGGGAGACACAGCATCAGGACAGAGACCCCGGACACAACTGTAACACAACACAGTGAAGTCAGACAGACAGGGAGTAGGGATAGCTCTCTGGGAGACACAGCATCAGGACAGAGACCCCGGACACAACTGTAACACAACACAGTGAAGTCAGACAGACAGGGAGTAGGGATAGCTCTCTGGGAGACACATCATCAGGACAGAGACCCCGGACACAACTGTAACACAACACAGTGAAGTCAGACAGACAGACAGGGAGTAGGGGTAGCTCTCTGGGAGACACAGCATCAGGACAGAGACCCCGGACACAACTGTAACACAACACAGTGAGGTCAGACAAACAGACAGGGAGTAGGGGTAGCTCTCTGGGAGTCACAGCATCAGGACAGAGACCCCGGACACAACTGTAACACAACATAGTGAGGTCAGACAGACAGACAGGGAGTAGGGGTAGCTCTCTGGGAGACACAGCATCAGGACAGAGACCCCGGACACAACTAACACAACACAGTGAAGTCAGACAGACAGGGAGTAGGGATAGCTCTCTGGGAGACACAGCATCAGGACAGAGACCCCGGACACAACTGTAACACAACACAGTGAAGTCAGACAGACAGGGAGTAGGGATAGCTCTCTGGGAGACACAGCATCAGGACAGAGACCCCGGACACAACTGTAACACAACATAGTGAGGTCAGACAGATAGAGAGACAGGGAGTTGGGGGTAGCTCTCTGGAAACTGGAAAAAGAAAACTGAAAAAAATATTTTTTTAAAGATTCCTAAATAGCAAAAGGCACCACTTCAGACCTTGATTAATACAAGTATCTAGTTTGGATGAAAAATATTGAATAGTTTTGTGGTTCTGCTCTGGAAACACCTACCTCCATTTCAGCTAAGTTAACTTGTTTCCATGGAAACAGGGAAGAAATCAAATTTTGAAAAATCCCTAAATAGCAAAAGGCACCAGTTGACAACCTGGTCTTTGTGTGTGCAAAGTGTCATGAAAGAATACCTATTAGTTTTAGAGATATGGTCCAGACAAACACACCACTATGAACAGAGTCAAAGTCACACTTGTTGCCATGAAAACAGAAAAAAATTACTTCTCCTAAATTTCTACAAAGTATAAGGCACCACTTCAGCCCTTTGTTAATACATGTAGCCAGTATGGAAGAAAAAAGGTCTTTCACATTTTTTCGATATATTGAACCGTTTTCGAGCTCGCACCGGAAATTATTATGGACAGACAGACAGGCAGGCAGATGGAGACAGATGAGGCTTCAACTATATCCCCCTGCATTATAATTATGCCAGTGGGAAGATAATACACAAGGACACTCCAATGAGCTGGAAATTCTACTGGCCCTCACAACAAGACACTGATAAGCTTATTTTAAATTTTACCCATAATTGGTATGGGATGGATATTTTTAGCAATTTACTTGAAGAATCCAGTATACTCACCTACCGACATGCCGACACCAGTCACTCGGTGAGTCAGAGACATGGTCATGGCGAGATGTGGCCTGCCAGACAAAACAAAGTCCTTTATAACAGGTAAATGAGCAAGCCAATGTTATTTATTGCAGTCAGCAATATTAGAGGCTTATCCACAACAGCCTGTAAATTATTTGATAAGTTTGCAATATTCTACAAATGACAACCTGTAAATATTTGTGGCTGGACCACACAAGCAAGTGATGGATATTATGATGAACGTCTCATCTTATTGAGGTTCATTAACTCATTATCAACCAAGTCAAAGAGCATAATCACTCAATCCAAATAGGCGTCGCCAGCAAAGGTTGTTGGGGCCCTATACTTGACTCCCCATGGCTGTTAAGGTGAGATGAAATGGGGCTCTATGTTCAAGATTATTGCACTTATATATATAGCAACATGTGTGTGTGTGTCTGTGTGTCTGTTTGCTTGTAGATGTCTCCATGGCTGTGTAGAGGATGGGGTTAAGGCTTGGCATGTTGGTTGAAGTGGAGCTAGAGGATGTCTCCATGGCTGTGTACATGATAGGGGTAGGGCTTGGCATGTCGGTGGAAGTGGAGCTGGAGGAGGTCTCCATGGCTGTGTAGATGATGGGGTTAGGGCTTGGCATGTCGGTGGAGCTGGAGGATGTCTCCATGACTGTGCACATGATGGGGATAGGGCTTGACATGTCGGTGGAAGTGGAGCTAGGGAATGTCTCCATGGCTGTGTAGAGGATGGGGATAGGGCTTGGCATGTCGGTGGAAGTGGAGCTGGAGGATGTCTCCTTGGCTGTGTAGAGGATGGGGTTAGGGCTTGGCATGTCGGTGGAAGTGGAGCTAGAGGATGTCTCCATGGCTGTGTACATGATGGGGTTAAGGCTTGGCATGTTGGTTGAAATGGAGCTAGAGGATGTCTCCATGGCTGTGTAGAGGATGGGGTTAAGGCTTGGCATGTTGGTTGAAGTGGAGCTAGAGGATGTCTCCATGGCTGTGCACATGATGGGGATAGGGCGTGACATGTCGGTGGAAGTGGAGCTAGGGAATGTCTCCATGGCTGTGTAGAGGATGGGGTTAGGGCTTGGCATGTCGGTGGAAGTGGAGCTGGAGGATGTCTCCTTGGCTGTGTAGAGGATGGGGTTAGGGCTTGGCATGTTGGTTGAAGTGGAGCTAGAGGATGTCTCCATGGCTGTGTACATGATAGGGTTAAGGCTTGGCATGTCGGTGGAAGTGGAGCTAGAGGATGTCTCCATGGCTCTGTAGAGGATGGGGTTAAGGCTTGGCATGTTGGTTGAAGTGGAGCTAGAGGATGTCTCCATGGCTGTGTACATGATGGGGTTAAGGCTTGGCATGTTGGTGAGTGAGTATGCTTTTACGCCGCTTTTAGCAATATTCCAGCAATATCACGGCGGGGGACACCAGAAATGGGCTTCACACATTGTACCCATGTCGGGAATCGAACCCGGGTCTTCGGCGTGACGAGCGAACGCTTTAACCACTGGGCTACCCGACCGCCCCTTGGCATTTTGGTTGAAGTGGAGCTAGAGGATGTCTCCATGGCTGTGTACATAATGGGGTTAAGGCTTGGCATGTTGGTTGAAGTGGAGCTAGAGGATTTCTCCATGGCTGTGTACATGATAGGGGTAGGGCTTAGCATGTCGGTGGAAGTGGAGCTGGAGAAGGTCTCCATGGCTGTGTAGATGATGGGGTTAGGGCTTGGCATGTCGGTGGAGCTGGAGGATGTCTCCATGGCTGTGCACATGATGGGGATAGGGCTTGACATGTCGGTGGAAGTGGAGCTAGGGAATGTCTCCATGGCTGTGTAGAGGATGGGGTTAGGGCTTGGCATGTCGGTGGAAGTGGAGCTGGAGGATGTCTCCTTGGCTGTGAGGTGAGGTGAAATTGGGTTTAACGTCGCGTCCAAGATTATTGCACTTATATAGCGACGTGCATGCACGTGTATGTGTGTGTGTGTGGTTGCTTGTACTAGTCCGGACTGATGCCGATTTATAGTGCTAGCTCACTGAGATACCATGCCGCAGTTTAACATGAATACCCCACTCAGACACAGTATACTGACTCCGAGCCGACCAGTCCTTGTTTTAGCCCCTTAATGCCGAGCGCCAGACAGGGTAACAACAAGTACAATCTTTTAACGTCTTTTTGTATGACGCGGCCCGGGATCGAACCCTGGACCTTCCGCTCTCCGGGCGGAGGCTCTACCACAAGACCACGGAGGCGGTCTTCCTTGGCTGTGTAGAGGATGGGGTTAGGGCTTGGCATGTTGGTTGAAGTGGAGCTAGAGGATGTCTCCATGGCTGTGTACATGATGGGGTTAAGGCTTGGCATGTTGGTTGAAGTGGAGCTAGAGGATGTCTCCATGGCTGTGTACATGATGGGGTTAAGGCTTGGCATGTTGGTTGAAGTGGAGCTGGAGGATGTCTCCATGGCTGTGTACATGATGGGGTTAAGGCTTGGCATGTTGGTTGAAGTGGAGCTAGAGGATGTCTCCATGGCTGTGTACATGATAGGGGTAGGGCTTGGCATGTCGGTGGAAGTGGAGCTGGAGGAGGTCTCCATGGCTGTGTAGATGATGGGGTTAGGGCTTGGCATGTCGGTGGAGCTGGAGGATGTCTCCATGGCTGTGCACATGATGGGGATAGGGCTTGACATGTCGGTGGAAGTGGAGCTAGAGGATGTCTCCATGGCTGTGTAGATGATGGGGTTAGGGCTTGGCATGTCGGTGGAAGTGGAGCTGGAGGATGTCTCCTTGGCTGTGTAGATGATGGGGTTAGGGCTTGGCATGTCGGTGAAAGTGGAGCTGGAGGATGTCTCCATGGCTGTGTAGATGATGGGGATAGGGCTTGGCATGTCGGTGGAAGTGGAGCTAGGGGAGGTCTCCATGGCTGTGTACATGATGGGGTTAGGGCTGGGCATGTCGGTGGAAGTAGAGCTGGAGGATGTCTTGATTGTTTTGCTTTGTGTTACAAATTTGGACTACATGGTCATCATATGTTGAGGGTCGGTGGGGTAGCCTCGTGGTCAAAGTGTTTGCTCGTCTTGCCGAAGACCTGGGTTCGATTCCCAATATGGGTACAATGTGTGAAGCCCATTTCTAGTGTCCGCCACCTTGATATTGCTGGAATATCTCTAAAAGCTGTGTAAAACCATACTCACTCACTCATCATCCGCTGTTAGTGGCAGATATAAATAAGAACATTTTCTTGTCGTCAATTATTGTGTATGATTATAACAATAGTTTTGATTCTTGATGGTTATTGTGATAAAAATAATTTATACTTAAAACTTGCCTGTATGAGGAAAGGAACGGTGAGAGCGGGCGATTCAGCTGTCTGTTCTTGTCCCAGTACTTCCGCATTTCTTCATAGGCTGTACTTGAAGACATCGGAATCCTGGACAACAACAGAGTTCAGCAATTGACAGCTAGTTGGAAGACATGGAAATAATCCTGTTACACTGTCATTACTTTATGTTCTGGACACACAACGTTCTTCCATCACCCACAGATGACTTCGTAATAATCACACTAATGTGGTCAGTGCGAATGCATGGGCCTGTTTGAGGTCATCACTTCGGGACAGGTGTTAGGTAATTACCTCAGGCAATAAGCTGTTTCATACATGCATGACAACGCACATATTTTACCATCATTTTATTTTACCACATAAGTTCACCATCATTTTACCTGTAAGAGTACCTTTTTAGGCTAATCACAGTGTCAGAATCAACTAGATTAGATAGATTTGCATTCTTTGGATACATGCTACTTTCATATCGCTATGATTCGTATTTATTAAATGAAGCCAGAAAAGCATTTTTATGGCATTTCCAACTGTTCTTTAGTCCAAAATCTTTAAAGTAAAACAAAAATATACTGAAATGATGTAAGCACCATGTCTGGGCCAGCACATTCGAACGATTGTGTTATTTATAATGTAGGTAACACACAACCTTATTGAAGTGTACTATGTGTATACAGACAAACATGCTAGTTGTTGACATTTGCACATGGTCCGTGCGTTGTGAGGTACTTACTTGTTGACAAACACTGCATGCTGCCTCAACAGGCTCTGCCTGCCTACGGATCTGGAACACAACATGGGACTTGTATAGCCATGGGAACAAGTCTTCACACAACATGTGACAGGAACTGGACAATCCATACCAACGGAGATCCGTACCTTGTTTGTTTGGGCAGACTACTACACAAATGCTGCATAACCTTTACCCACCTGTACTTGATCAACTGGATGACTCATACCCCAAATACGCGTATTCGTACACAATGAAAATGAATATGATTTCTTATTATTAAACTAAACATTATTCACTTCTAAAGTTCTATTGTTATCTGTAGCAATGACCTAGAATAATATGAGAAACAATCAGAGAAATCAGCGCCTATCGGCTCCTGAAGTGTAAACTGCTTCTGTGGGATGCTGAATGTGTTAATTGGTGCTTACTCTATAAATAAATGGGTATGGTTCATCTAAATTTGTGTATGAGTCTGGGAAATAAAGTACCAATGCTCAATATCAGGAATGGAAGATAGGAATTTTAGGTGTGTATAAGCCATTTCAGATGGGTATGTACCTCCTTTGGTGTGGATTGTCTATTGACTAGTGTAGTGATGGGAATAAGTCTTCATAACATGCTAAAAATATGGTAGCTGTTCTTAGAGACTGAGAATAAAGCATGCCCCCCCCAGAAATTTTTTAAACATTTGATTGCATTTAAAGCAATTTCGTGCAGTTTGGACAACATTCACACCAATAAATGTAATAAGTCATTTGCAAAAGTCAATAAGTCAAATAAACAAGATGGCAGATGCAGTAAAATTTCTAAGTTAAATCAATACTTTTAAAAAATTGGGCATAGCTTCTGCGCCCCTGGCTTCCCGCCAGGGCTGGGAGCAATAGTGCCGTAAACTTCAACCCCCATCCCCCAGACACAAGGACAACTTTCACAAGCGTGCAATGTCTGACCCTTTCCCCATGTTGAAGCATACTGAAAAAAAACTTACCTTGTACTTACCTTTTGATGAAAAAAACAAAACTCCATTGCAAACATAAGACATTAATACAACATATATCCCCATGTTATGGGGTTTTGGACGCTGAAGAAACATTCATAGTTTTCTCGCTAATCACATGAACAACTGTAAAACATCTCATTCACTTACAGGCTAAAAGACGACTTTATCTTAAAAACAAGCCATCAGCTGACTCTGAGTATTTACAATTTCTGTGTGACGCCACACCCCACGTTATAGTGCAAGTATTCGTGATAGAAAACGTATGATGTCCGAAAACCTATGCTGCTGGAAGCTCTGATCGAAAACAGGACAATTCGCGATGGTTGTCCGGTTTTCGATCATATTTTTCGGAGTGTTTTTTTTTCAAAAAAATTATTTAATTTTTCGCGGAAGATGATTTTTTCCGAGGTCTACTGTTTTAAAAAACGCGATTTTCCGCGTTTCCGCGGAGATTTCACATCCCTGTGCTTGACCGTCCACAGTTGCCACTTAGAACTTGGGTTTTGAAAGCATGAAAACGACAATCAAGGTCACATAGGTGAAGGTCAGTCGATAACGAGTAGGCTTTTCTCATCAAACTTTTCCGTTGATTATAAACTACGTCATGTGTGTTAACAACCAAATAACGTGACACGTAAATGCCCAGTAGAAAGAGGGGTTCCTAATAAACAAGAATGAGACGAAACACATGAAGACATGGAAGGGCGGCCCCCGGCCTTCAAATGTATTGGCGTAGCATAGCAGCCAAACAGTGGGAAACTAGCTGTTCAATTCAATGATAGGTGCTTTATGCTTTAATTTCGTTCGTGCCTACTGCCATTTAGTTAATTCTTGAGCAAGTGGGGAATAATAAATAGGAAATAAGCGCTGATAACCGTGCAACTACCTCAAAAGCATCGCCATCTTGTCTACAGGTGGAATGAAGACTCGGCTACGGAAAATGAAACGAATGCAACATTAGCGAAATTTGCTTCACATCGATTCCACTGAACCAAAACGTTAATCATATATAAACAGTATATTGTTATACAAAGCAAGGGGGGCAAGTTTAGTACTGAATATTACATATCTACTTTCAAAGTGAAAAGTATGAAATCGATGTTTTATCTATTTCGGAAATGTAGAATAATGTTCAATTTAACATAAACCGGTATGACAACATTTTGTAAATTGTATTTGTCGACGAGTAGTTAACATTGTCTCCATGACATTGAAACTTCAACCGTCACACATTTATAATTAATCGTAGCGGGCGCTGTTGGGCAAATGTTGAATGCTCCGCCAAACACTTAAATATAACTATCACTATTGTGACTATTTAATACAGATAATGGTCAACTTCTACACAATGATACCCCTACATAACATTACCTAACCTGTATTAAATATTTCATAAATACAACTTGCTGGTCCGTAATCACTTGCCTCACAGGATATTTTGAACAATACTGGACATTTATCATTATCTGGTCGGTATGAGGCAATATCAGTATAGGTATCACTGACATTTTAATGAACAAAACTTAGAGAACATGACATGGACGATTTTATATGTTGATTTTATTCATGTATATATTTTGAATTTGTTTTAGATTTTCATATTTTTCGCAAAGATACAATTACTTTATCGTCAGCATTCCGATTGTCAACAAAAAACAAACACACCCTTTTCTTCATATTTGTGTAAAATTGTAGAGATTAAATGAGAGGGAGAGATAGTAGACCGCGACTGTTTTTAATGAAATTGAAAACTGATATAACTGTTGTTAAATTGATTATGTCTGTTTAAACACCACTCATTCCTGCAACAGTTTGAAGAAAGTAATCTGTGGCTGGGTAATTTTGTGTAAAAATAAACTGGTTCAATGAAGGTTGGGGTAAGAATTTAATTATCAACCACACGACCCCTTGATATGTTGTATTTTTGTGCCAAAAAGAGCAAATTTAGTATTTTTTAAAGATAGGATGTATAAAATATCCATTAGCAATGTGTGTATTACGCAATGTTTGTACATTTTTACAAGTTTTAAATCAAATTATATTTTTTTTAAATAAAACCACGCAGAAGTATTCTTTGAGTGCTGATTTCAAGCCAGTACAACTCCATGTTTGGTATAATATCGCTTACTTAACATCTTTTAAATTGCAAATCAAGCATATGATGAAATATACTGAGAGTTATAGTTTCTTTTGCTCCTCAGTCTACTATCAAATTATTATTTATTGACAGATGAAATACCATGTCTGAAAAAGTCAAATCAATATTTTACTCTGGTGAAATACCCCTTGGTGCCGGAACTACCTTCGGTCTACTTGCTTGTGGCTAAGCTTGTCTGGCCGTGTGAATCAGTGAGAAAATACATAATAATTTATTTATTTTCTTGGTAAAATAACATGTTTATCTAATTTCGTGGTCTGGGAAGTTGCGCCGCTCATGACAATATATATCTGTCACTCGCTGAAATAAACATGCTTTTTGAGAAAACAATCCTCTATATTTTAAATGTTCAATGTAAATAGTAAAACAATATGATTCATTCTAAAACCTGATGTACGTATATGTTTTCGGTGTCTGTAGAGAGTCCCGGGACTCTCCGTCATAACTGCTGGGGTCTCAGTCACACGACAGACGGGGCTCCAGGCATTGCCGCTGTACCAGCAGGAAGTAGAGTAGAAAATATATGTGTGATGCCTTATGCTGACAGTATAAGGGATTTCCTTGTTTGAAACTTTGTGATCGAGTCAAGATAATGTGTCTGAAGTTTTATTGCATTTTATAACCAGAACAGAAATATGTGACGAATCTAATGCGATTGCATTAATTTAGTTTGTTTCAATCATTCAAACACCCATACTCTTTTGCGTCTAAAGGGACTGGGATATCATTTGCGTCCATTCCTAATAATTATTCATCCCGTTAAACCCTGATGTACGAGTCAGCTTTTTTACAGCACAAATGTATGTGCATAGGTCGGCCAGTCAAGGTGTATGAGTGAGCTTGGTTTAGTGCCGCTTTGAATAGTATTCCAGTTGTATCTGGGCGTGTCAGCTTATTGTGAAAGGAAAGCCCGAAGTGATGCAGATCTCAGACGTTTACCAATTTATTTTTTACGTACAAGATTACATACTAAACTGTGTACAAGATTACCGAAATTTCCGTGTACGAGATTACCGCAACCCTCCCGGCACACAGTGTTTTTCTTTTATAAGATTAATAATAAGAAAATGATTCTATTACTGTGTCATGTATTGCACACATATTATAAACAATGTCAAAAACATTAAAAAGTATACAATACTCGGCCATGAGGCCCGAGACACAATATTGCCTAAAATTTACAACATAGAAGATGATGAGTTAATAGATATCACCAACGATCTCAAACGCAATGAAACATAATTTTGAATAGGCTATGCACCTACTTTTAACGCATCGCGTATGTCATTGAATGGGGAATTCCATTCATGACGTTGTAATTTTTGTTTATGAGTAATACACGTACAGTGAGTATTACACGTCCGGCGAGTGTTACTCATACAGTATTACACGTACAGTGAGTATTACACGTACGGCGAGTGTTACTCATACAGTATTACACGTACAGCGAGTGTTACTCATACAGTATTACACGTACAGCGAGTATTACACGTACAGCGAGTGTTACTCATACAGTATTACACGTACGGCGAGTGTTACTCATACAGTATTACACGTACAGTGAGTATTACACGTACAGCGAGTGTTACTCATACAGTATTACACGTACAGCGAGTGTTACTCATACAGTATTACGCGTACAGCGGTTATTACACACACAATTATACACGCAGTTGAAGCTGAAACCTTCATTTCAAAACCAGTAAATAAAAAATAATGACATTTCAAGAATAAAATATCTAACTGAAATTCAGGTACAATTGTCTTAAAGCAAAAACGTGCATTATAACAAAACACTACACATGCAAATACGTGCATAAATGAACAGACACCCCCAAGTCGATGCTAGTTATATCGAAAGGTGTCTTGCAAATAGCATGTATCGTACGATGTGAAATACCGCGAGATTTCAAATTGCAGGCGCGCGACACACGAAATTTGTCAACAAACCAAACCAACACTACTTTGTGCATATAGGTATACTTTGGGGTTGTCTCTCGCCAGTGTTTCCAGAATGTGATTTGTGTAGCCCATTTTACCCTTTGCACTTCATGAGACAGCACATTTCATATCCACGAAGTGTATTTTCGTTCCTTCCAACATTCTCAAGCAGACGGCAGGTCAAATGTGTTGTTCGAGCAGATGAAGTTGGTTGACAACTTGTCATTCGGTCGACGTGTAGTTATCTACGGAATATGACAATTTACGTGACATGTCATTTAATAACATGTATTCGGTATTCAAACTTGGTTCGCACGACATATACTTGTCTGTCTATTAAGTTGCAAATAGATTATTTCGACCACATCCATAAAAAATAGTTACACGGTATTAACTGACTGGGACAATGTTATGTTGTCACTTTGTAAAACAGGGATAATTGGAATATGTGTACAATATGTAGACAAGTGCCAAAGGACCTAAGATATGAAGGCTATGCTAACATGTTTACCCCAATAATATTGTATTTTTTCTTCAGCCTGAGCATGTAAAGCAGCAATTTATGACCTGTCTGATCATACTCTTTACTGTAACAAAAACGTGATGTTTTTCAAATTTGTGAATTGGAGGGGAATGCCACTGCAGTGTATTTAATATGTTTTTTTCAATAAAATATATGACAAATCTCATTTCCCCAGAAAATGACAGAGAGACAGATAACTTAGTTTGACTTTCAGGTAGCACAAATTGATATGAGATGACTTGATTTTTGTTTGAAGCAAGTCATTGAATAGAATCTAGCAAAAATACAGCAACACCCTGTTTATCTGGACCTACTGAAATCATACAGATTTCTGGACAAATGAATCATTTGTATGCAGTAATATGTTCCCAATGGTAGTCGTCTGGAAGGCTGAGTTTCAGGCCTAGACGTGTTTTGCTGTATCCTTAACATGACAAAAACCATGTCTTCAAATGATGCCCGAGTCACAACATGAACATTCACAAAATCCCAGCTGTGAACTTATTCTGTATATCTCCATGTTGCTCAAACTATCAACCACTGATTGATTTTTCTTACCCTTGTTTCTCTGCCATGATATGAGTGTGGAACTAGTTACTGATTTGTCTAAACTGTTGAATTTATTGATTCATAAAAAAACCCAATTATTTTATCTTTCAGACTTGAATCTTCAAAATGCCTGTCAACCAAATCACCTACTCAGAAAAGTATTATGATGAGAAGTTTGAATATAGGTAAGTTAACATTGACGACAGCCTGTAAATAATCAAGTCTGGGCCTGACAATCTGGTGATTGATATTGTGAGCAGTGATCCATGCTGTCAGTATCAACAAAGTCACCAAGCCTGACCATTTGGTCGCCTCTTACGATCAGCATTGGTTGTTGGACCAAGACTCCCCATGGGGTTTTATGTACACATAATATAGGAAGTAGCATGCTTGAATTCTATGTACAGTGCCTCTTGGGCAAGGCCATTTTCATTACAAGTACTTAAAATAATGTTTATTTCATGTCTTGACAAAATAAACTGTGAAATGAAAGATTTTCCCTCATTAGTTGCATGTTTCACAATAGCTTAATGACTTCCTGTTGTAAAATCAAGTAGGCTTTGTTCGGGGATTTCTGTTGACAGACGTTTGATGAGATGTTCAAGATTGCACGAAATACTTTTGGATGTACTTGCTTCTTTCTGTATTTTGGCTGTATATTGTAGCGGCCCGGACCCGAACTTCTGATAAACCTCGAAGTCTGGATGTAACTGAGAGTCAAAACACTTCTTTCCAATGAATAATTAGTTTTTATTCATGTGGGTATAACAATGCCTTATATGGACAACACAATGCTTCCAAATAAGTAGATCCCTCTGAGCTTTAAGGTTTATTTGTAAGGAC